CAACACCCCAAAACCCAACTTTATCTCCCTCCATTACTATGTCGTCCCACCAGATCACCAAATAAAAAAGACCTTACAACCGGAATTCAAGCAAGCATCACTGGAAGTGACTTATACATTAAAAGTGTCGCGGATCAAGTGGGTAGTGAGTAGCGACAGGTGAGTAGATCATTTTTTACTCAAGTATGATCAGTTGGTTCACTTCTCTTCGCAAATGCTGCGATACAGCTGCTGATTTCCCATCACATGGGCGTCTCTACGTCCGTTTGTCAACCAATTAATCAATCTATCTGTCAGCCCACTTGTCCATGGATCAAGCGGTGAATGAATCGTTGTGCGCTGCCTGTTTTATAACTCATAGGAGTGGTGTGAGGATGAAGTATCCTTACTTCCATCAAATAGAGCACGCAAGTACCTGGTGTCTGGGTCAGTGTTGATGCCAGCGTCTATGTTTGAACACTTGGCTTCACTCTCTCTGAAGTTGCCACGAGTTCGTCGATGCCCTCTTCTACCTCCGCCAGATTCGTAGCTTTGGCTAAAGCTGACGGAGTAGGAGGAGAAGTTGAGGATTTTTTACTGCCTCCTCATTAGGTCGCGGGATAATCCGCTCAATCACATATTTGGTAGAAATTGGTGGCTTGTCACCTAAGCAGTCTACTGGATCAAATAATTATTAAGCGCATTACCAGGGAATAAAAGGTTTGATCCTCTAAGAGCCTTCTCAATGCGAGGTGGTGGAGACGAGTGGTAGGAAATGGATGTTGACGCCGACATCAACGCTACTTCACCTCATTGCCTTGTTTGTAAGAACTCTCCACGTATACGAATTGAGTACAAAGGAGATAAAGTATAGCCACTAAAAATTTGGAGAAACGTGCTACTTAAAAAAGCCCAGAGGATAAAGAAGTTCGCTTTCATAGCTCGAAGGCCATTTTGCAGATAAGAAGCAAAAAATCACTGCATGTAGGCGCTGTCATAGTTACTTTCACGACGGTATGCCTTCATTATTGCTGGGGAAGAAAGGCTAAATTCCACAAGAGCGTGCAGTCTTACCAGTCCTCTACCTTTTGCCTCTGAAACAAGGCGATTTCATGCGTCGGTCAAACACGCATCCCCACTGTCTATCTCTGTTGTTTAAACACTGGGTTGTCTTGATTTTACTCAACAGCACACCACGTGCTCACTCACTCATCCTCTCGATCTCTTAGTCATTAAGTCGGTTGAAATTTGGTCTATTGATATAAGGCTAGGCGTCTTGTTGTTGCAGGCTAGCGCGATACGGGAGAACGATCTGTAATAACGTGCTTGAAGAAAGGAAGCATAATGGATGGACTGCTGATGATGTTTGTGATGATGGCGTGTAGACGCAGGACCAACCAAGATGAGTCAAGTCTTCAAATCGCATACTGCATTAAAAACATGTGAAATTCATTTTTGCCTTATTAATGGCAGCTGTAGTCAGCATCTTGTCAAATGTGATATCAGCCAGTCATGACTCAACAGTAAGTAGGAGGCCATTTAGAGAGGACCAGAATTTTTTTTTTTTTAAAAAAAAAGGCAGTGTTACGACACCCACAAGGGGCTTGATCAATTGAAAAGCCCGTGTCTGCAAACCATGACCTCCCAACCTCCAACTCCCCTCCCCCTACCTTCTTTACGTTGTCCTGCGCTCGCACCTCGTGACTCAAACAATAACGCTGACAACTTAAGCCTACCAGGCCATTATGTGGAAAAGCCATTAAAAAATGAAATCCGGGCACAAGAAACTGGAAGTGTAGACGTTTAAGGGTGGAGTAGATGGCGCTTTATAAGTGACAAGTGTCAAGTGGGTAGCTGACAATTAGTTGACCTTTTGGTGCTCCCCTATTGTCAGTTCATTCGCTTCGCTCTTCACAAGAGCCGCAAAACAGTTGCTATTTCTTAGCACAAGTCTCACCGTCTGTTTGTCAGACTATCAGTCGAGCACTCAATGGGTCAGGCAGTAAAGAAAGTACTGCATGCTACCTGGCTTATAATCTACGTGGGTTGTATTAAAACCAATTTGACAGGTTTCTATTTACCATCCATCAGCTCACCCTCGTGATTCTCCTCGAGCCGACTCAACGCTCCCCCTCCTTCTCTCTAAACTCTTTCCCATCTGCTAACATTGGGTTGAATTGTTTTGCCTTGGCATCTCTTAACTCAAAAATATGTCAGTCTATAGTGAGATGCTTGTGCACAAATCTCCAGACTAAGCAGACATCAGTCAACTCCACCAAAAGGAGTGAGAGGCAAGCTTCAATCCTGTGATCTCTACCTGCCCCCACAAAACTTTGTTTATTTGTAAGGCTCCGACGACTCCTCTAAATAACTACCATGTTTAAAAAATCACATAACTGGAGGTTGAAGTGCACAATTAAATAAAACCACATTACTTGTTGCGTCTACATTGATGCTCTCTTCCCGCTTGGGTTAAAGTGATGGAGCAAAGAAGGCGCAGGGTGGGGGGCGGTGGTGGAGGAGGAAGAAAATCAGCGTTAGTCTTTTCCTTAAGGTGTCAGTGACCCCTGATCAGTCAGAACGCCGGGGTAATTTGACAGCATGTCATCTAAACAATCCATTCAGTCAAGCAATAGATAACCGTGTTAACAAGGGAGAGACTAGCATGACCCTTTGAAGGACCTTCCGACCCTAGCTGGCGCCTATAACTTAGGTTCAATCAGTTACAGAATTGCATTTATTTAGACTCTGTTTTATGATGCAAATGGTTGTGGAACTTCGGTATAAAAGTGGCCTGGCGATATGAAGAAGGCAGTGAGATGTTCAAAAAAGATGCCATTCCTCGCCCAATGATGGCAAGTTAGCAGCTTTGAAAGTTTCTCGTCACAGATTTTGAAGAGGAAGAGGAGGAGGAGGAGGGGGAGGAGGAGGAGGAGGAGAAAGTGGAGAGGGCAGTAGGTGATTGTAGAATCACGTGGTACACAACACCAAATAGGCGGGATATTGCTTCGCCATGTGGTGAACAAGGGAGCGACTGCAGAGAGAGTGGAGACGAGATAGGGAAAAAGGCGTGGTTGCAATGGCGAATGGTAAGTTGGAGGCTTCAATAGACCCTGTCAACTTGCTCATCCCCAATAGTCCATGCTTCGCGATTGCTAGACACAACAACCTACCCCAAAACCACCGCCATGCTTCACGTCTTCCTACTAGACCCCACTCCACACGACTGAAAGGTGTACAAGGAACGGTTTCTCCTCCCTTCTCCTCCCTTGTTTGTCTCCTTCTATGACGTGTGAGTGAGTAACCTGCTATTTCAAGTACCGGTTAGGTCTACATCCTCACTCTCAACCTTACGAAGTGTTCACATGCCCCGATTCACTCAACACACCACGTGTTCACTCTCTTGGTCGTTTAGACGGCCAGTCGGTGGAACTTCGGTCTGACTCTTCTTCATTCTAGCTCATTGTCATCAACTACCTTACCATACGCATCAACTTCTCCACTCATCAATCCACCCATTGCCCATCAGGACGGATGTGTACTTGCTTGGCTTCTTCTAGTGGTAGACGGTCTTTTTAACTCACCTGAAGAAGGGGATCACGGTGGATGGATGCCTAATGATGTGTAGACAAGTGAAATTTTATTACCACCTTTTCAGAGGTAGCTGTAGTCAGTTTCGCGTCAAGTGTGACGTAAGAAATGTCATGACCCATCAACCAGATGGTCATGTGTCGAGGAACAGATTTTCTCCAAAAAACCTCTGTAAGGACTAACGCTTTGGTTTTGATTAAATAAAAATCGCACAACTTAAAACCACGGCTCCCCAAACCTGCCGCCTCTTCACCTTGCCTAGGCAGTTCTCCGCTTGTATCTGGTGACTCAGACATTGGGGAAAAAGCATGCCGTCAACTTGAGCCAAACAGGTCATCAATTGAAATAGTCATACAAATGACAGTTGGGCCCGCAAAACATGAAGAGTAAATCTCTGAGAATGAAGTGTCTTGTGCATTTAAAGTGTCAGGGATCAAGTGCGTTGGGGGTAGTGGGTGGACGGTGTGGGCTAAACCATGGCCAGTCCACTCACTTCCATGTCCGACAGATTTAGAGCCTTGGATGGGAGAGACGAGGCAAAGGAAGATATCTCATATTTTGACAACATGTTGGCAAAGCGAGGAGGAGAGAGAAAATTTTAAATTATCAAGGTTTTTACGGGGATGATGCAGGAGGGAAAAAATCAGCGTTTCGCTCTGCCTTGGGGGCTCGGTAATCTTGGCGCAGTCACAGGTTTGGTACAATTTGACAACTTGTCACGCGGTCAATTCAATCGAACAATTGATTGGCCTTTTGAACAGGGGCAGTTGTGACCTTTCCAAGGGCATCCCGACGCTCAGTAAAACATGTAATTGGAGGTCAGTCGGTTGAAGAAATACGGATGAAGTGTATTTTACTCAAAGACACTTTCTCGATTAAAGGTTGAAAGCTGATTGTAGACTACTGGTTTTAAGTAATTCGGCAAAAGTGAAGATGGATGGATGGGTGCTCACTCAAACCGGGATTTTTTTCCCATATCTTATACCGCCTTAATTAAATAAATGAAATTTATTTCTCCCCGTCTAGGTGACTGCTCTTTTCAATGTCGTGTCAAATGTGACATTACAAAGTCGAGCCTCAGCATGTAGGGAGGTCATGTTTGGAAGGAACAATTTTTGTCGAAAAATCCCTATTCCGATACCACATTGGCTTTGACCTCACATCACACAAATGACGGTCGAATGCCCTCGATCCTCCCACACCCAGTGGCTTAAACAATCGGGTGGCAACTGCCTGTTGTCACCCACCATCGTCACTCTCGAAGGCCTTTACTTTTTATTTACGACACTTTGAAATAGGAAAAAAGGAGAAGAAAAGAAAGAAAACGCATGGAAGGCGCATTTTGTACTTTTTCTACTCTATGATGCAGGTGTACCGAGTAGTGTAAAAAATAGTCACGTCAACGTCAGGTCATTTTGTACAGAAGGTGACTAGTAGTCCGTCTCTGCTGCCTCTGTTTGACCTTGCCAAGTGGCACTGGTATAGGTGGTAGGATACTCATAGCCAATGGACATGTCCGTTGAGGCAATTTGGTTGTAAGCTGAATCACTGCCCGACCACTGCGTTGGATAGGATTGGGGATGTTGTTGTGATGGCGTTGAAGAACGATGTGTGCAACCATAGAGGTTCATCATCGGGTGCGAGGCCAGGGGTTGTGCTTGAACTCCTCGAGTTGAGGGCTCCCATGAGGAGGTCGGTGGCACATTTGGGCTGGCCTCCTGTCTCATGCCCACTGTATTACCTGGCTGCCATTCAAAGCTACCTCTCAGTAATGCGGGATCTTGATTTGTCATGGAGGATTGAAAGTACCTCACACAACTAACTGGTAGGGCGCTATTCGAAGTGGAAGGAACCGGTGTTGACATGGTGTAAGAGGCAGCAGAATAAGTTATTGCCATTGTCTGGCTAGGATGGGATACAAGACGTTCAAATGATTGAGCCATATCTCCAACCTCAGTGCTCAATTCCACCAGATCTGGACTTGTTCGATCTGTGTGGCTCCAATTTGGAGTGGAGACCGGACAACTGCTGCCTTGGTGATTGCTAAATCCATTCATCGACTCTGTGCTGCTCGCTCTAGGCAGTGTAGACTGGGAATTCTGGTCGTCGCTTGTCTGAAAATAATGGAAACAAGTAATCACAATGTCTAGCCATTAAGAAGGTGAAATAATTGCCCCTAGGGGTAGGCAGGTAACTACTAGAGCATGAAAGTCTCTTTTTCCCCTTTTTCACTCCTGTAAAATCCCCTCTCCTCCCCTCCCCTCCCCTCCGGGACTCCACCTAGGAGGCACTTACCGTTTCTGTCCGAGACTCCTCGAGATTGTTAGAGCTACCATCGGAGTTGTCGGTGATTTGGACACCACGTTTCTTTAACTTCGAGCGACGATTTTGGAACCAGATTTTGACCTTGTGAAGTGAAAATAACAGCCGGATAAATAAGGACTTTGAAAAAAATGACTGTGTATGTGTGAAATGCTTGGTAGACGGGTCGTGTGTTTTTTTTTGTGACCACAGGCATGCATAGAAGCGTAAGGAAGATCAAAGACACATAGGGCTTTCGTATATTCACACACACAGAGAGAGGGAGAGGGAGGAAGAGGTAGAGAGACAGACGTGTTCCACCACCGCCACCACCACCTCTCTCCTCTTCTTTTAAACCATATTTTGGAGCATAAATTATCCACCTCAATCCCCTTTGGCGTAGTCAATAGAGAGGAAGGGCGTTCCTGTCTCACTGTTTGCCTTCTCCTTTCTAGACTGACAAATTTTAGTGGATATTGGGCAAGAAAAAGCACACAAGTTTTGAGGAAATGGTAAAGCTAGCCCATGGCTAAGGGCTTTTGGGTTTGGCGGTGGTGGTTGTGGTGATGATGGGAAAAGAATGTTCGCCTCCTCCTCCTCCTCCTCCGCCGCCGCCACCACCACGTCCTTCTCCTCCTTCAAATTCCTCCTCTCCACCCTCATGAAGATGCGCACAAGCAGAAGAAGAAAGATAATTACAGGCCTGGAACAGGTGAGTGCGTAAAATGTCCGTCCCATCGTAGGCCAAGCCTTAACCACGCACACACACACACACACACACACACACAACACACCCTTATCCACCCTCCTCTGCTAGCCTTGCGCTTTTGTTCAGAAGGCAGTCCAAAGGGTGGATGGAGTGGGAAATTTCACGTACTCTTCAAGACGTTTACGGCCTCAGTAATTATATACACGGAGAAGAAAAGCGGAGAACTAGGAGGGGCAACGGTGTAAAATGACTAACCACAAATCAGGTGCAAATTGTCCAAAAGTTAAGCCTATTTACTTAATCCTTTGTCATAACTAGGCCCTCTCTCTCTCTCTCTCTCTCCGTCATGAAGCATAGTTGTGGAGGTGCACAAATAAGAATACCCATCACAACCTACTCATGAGGAGGAGGAGGAGGAGGTGAAGGAGAAAACTGCGAGAAAGGGAGGAGGAGATGGACAGAAAAAATGATTATTTATACAGGATTATAGTACCATAGCTATGTAATTAGAGGTTTTGAGGAGAGAAATTCACATTTTTACGGCTATCACCTGATTGGTCGGTTTTGTTTTTTGTCAGTCAAGTGGGTACCCACCCACTATCCCCCTCTTCTCCGGTTATCGATATTTCCGCCGGTCGTGTTGGCAATGCATTATTTTTCCCCGGGTCCCCGCAAAAAAAGTGAAATTATTAAAGCAGAGGAGGAGATAATTAAACAGGTAAAGAGGTAAGCCTCTTACATTTGCTCTGTGAAGAGCCTATCAATCATTGTCACGTGTTTGCCTCTATTTACTTCGTTTTCTCTCCCTTTTTTTGCCTTCGCTTTGGCCTTCTCAGATCAACTCAACTAATGATTGTCAAAAAAAAGGACAAGAAGAAAATTCGTCTGACAGCTAAGTCGATATTAAATTTACAGGAGGGGTCCCATGACCTCTCCAGTTTGTCGCCATGGCAATAGAAATAAGAGAGTTGGAGAGGGGAATTTGGTTTCTTTTTTTCAAAAAAAGGGGAGCAAAAAATATTACCTGAGTCTGTGTTAAGCCCAAATCACTGGCGAGTTGAGCCCGCTCCGAGAGATTGAGGTACTTGGACTTGGTGAATCGGCTATTCAAACGTTCCAATTGTGCTGGGGTATAAATAGTTCGAGGTTTTCGCGGTTTTCGCCGATTCCCCAATCCACGATTGGCCTCTGTGATAGAAGGAGGCAGTAATTATGGCCTACGATTAGGTAGAGACGTACCATGTCCACCGCCGACCCCGCCTCCCCCTCCTCCCGAATCGGTCATGGTACCTGTGGTGGATGCAGCCAGGGTGTAGTCATTCGGACTAGTGGAGAGACTACTTATCACCGTTGTTGGGGTGACAGCATCGTGGGTCAAATTTATCCCTCCGTGGTAGGTGGAATGCTGAAGTAATTCTTCCTGAGACAGGGGAGATGTGGAACCTCTTGTATCCTGTACCGGGGTTAAAATATACCGCGTGCGGACATCATCTGGGTAGGTATGACTACTACCGTAGTATATCGAATTGTAAGGCGTATGCAAGGCGCCGTTATGAGAGATCGGTAGATGTTGTTGAGATGATCCTACACCCTCATAACCGGATGTGGTTATTGCCGTGGGGACGTACGGTGGGTAGACATCAAATAATGCCGGGTTCCCGTTAATGCCGTTCGGGTGACTGGTGTATTGACCGACAAATGGGGGAACACGTTCCGAGGGTGTAAAAACGTTATCAGATGGGGGTAAAGTCATCTCCTCGAGAAAGTTCTGTGCAGGTGTACCGGAGAAGTCATTATTCTCCTCACCTATCGGTGATGTGTTTGACATGTTGGGTAAGATATCCGGCAGATTGAAATGTCCATTTGAAGTTGCTGATCCATCCACACAGGGCTGGTGGAGGCTACCTGTCCTCTCGTCGGCCATGAGTGAGACCTCTGCTATAGATTTGCCACTTAACGTCTTCTGTTGCGTTATGTGATGGTGAAACTGGTCTCAGTTGATAATATAACCAACTTGCGGGGGTGTGTGTGTGTCACACCGATGATATGTCAGTACTCTGCCAAAATGCTCCAATCAGATTAGCACTCAACAGCCGGCCGACTCCAGCTTGTCAATGATTGGCGGAAATTTTTGACGATTTTGTCCACAGCCCCTCACGCCAATCCCTTTACACGATGGAAAGGCATTCCCTTTGACATCCTAATAACTAGGCATTAGAGAAAGCGTAATTGAGTAATTGCCAACTTATTTTCCTTTTCTTTGTTTAAAGTGTACTCAAGACGGTAGCACCAAAGATGACAATTTCCTAGATTTTAACTGAAAAATAGTACATATAAGTAATTTTTAAAAGGAAAAATTGCAGCTAAGGAATATGTCCTTTATTCCAACAAAAAGATGACTATATTGCTTAGGCAAAAGGAAGCCATTTGGGAGAGTAGAGTCTGGGTGAAAGACGAGGTGTGCAGTGTACCTCACGTCACTTTCCATCTGTGCAAAATTTTAACCTGCGACCATCTGGTGGGTAGTTTAGGCCTCACGTGTGCACCAAGCCCCACACCCACCCCCTGCCCGGTCCTTAATCAAAGCACATAAAAACTAGCCAAATACAATTTTGCTTAGGCCCTAACACCCCCGCCTCGCCTCGCCCCTCTCCCCATTAGCCCACTTCCTCCCTCCTCTTTCTTCGTCATGAGCCCTAACATATACTGTTTGTAGGTCCAACTCACGCCCGTAGGCAGTGCAGCATCTGCCGGCCTGAAATAATGCCACTCTGCGATGCTTTCCACCATCTTCTGGGTGGGAGGCGGAGGAGGAGGGTGGGAATGCGCCTTGCTTTGCTTTCACGGTGCTAACTCGCCTCGATTTAACAATGCAGGCCAACTTGTCCTCCCAGTCTGGGAGGTGGGGTAAGGAGAGAGGGGAGGGACAGAACGACACCCTCTCGGGTAGATATATTACGTTTATGGCGACAATAATTACCAACTTCCGGTGTATAAGCGCTTAACACATATAACAAAATCTAGTGTAATTAATTCAATGAAACAAATTATTATTTCAAAAGGAAAGACAAGAATGAAAGAAGGCGATGATGATCAACTTCTCCACCAAGAAAGGAGTAAGTTAGTTGCCCACCTAATTGTTTCCTTCTGGTCTCTAATTACCTCACACATGCAGCAGCTCTAAGGCGTCAAAGACATCTTCAATCTGTCGACGCAAAAGGGAGGGAAGGAGGGAGGAGGGGAAAAAAGAAATGCACCCTGATGCCTTTTCTTCCTCTTTTGAGGAGGCGAGACCCCTTCCAAATTTCCCGGTCTCCTCTATGAGGCAAACAGAAGTAAGGAGTTAGAAGGCATCGCCTACTGAGTGTTTAAGTTATGCCAAGTAACAATGTTGGGGAAGAATAAAAGCATCACAATTCCTTCTTCCTCTTGCTCCTTCTCATCAATCAAAGAGTAGGTGAAATTTGTCCGCAGGTTCAAATTTCTTAATATTTTGCGAGGTTCTTTTGACAGGTGAACTAGTGTTAGTAGGGAGGAGATCAGACTGCTTGTCATTTCATTGTCTTTACGTAGTCTCAAGACTAAACAATTTTGGAGGTCTTGGAGACTAACTAACTAAATGACACTCACGTTTTGGGTGAGAATGTCCACAAACGGTAGTGGTAGATGCCGAGATTAGGAAGGACAAAAGGTGGTTTCTAAGCTGAGCCTCTTGTTTGGCGCCTAAACGGATTTGAGAACAAGCGAAGTGGATGAGAGAGGGTGAGAGAGGGAGGGACGGAGGGAGGGTGTGGAGAAGTGGCTGGCTGGAACGGGGAAAGACAGGATGGGGACGGTGGTCACGAGGGCCGCCTTCTTGCTTCAGCCAGGCCGCCGATGTTTGGGGGGAGGAGGGGAGGGAAGTGGGACAGTGAGGCTGACATACGCCCGTAACATTCACATAATTATAGGTTATACGGCTGATTCAGACTGACGTGATCTATGGGGACTTGGACAAATTTCGTCTTTTATTTCCACTTTTTTTAAAATTAATAAATCGGCCAAGTTACCAATCAAACAAGTCCATATCGAAAATCGGAGTTCTACCGATAAGGGGCAAAGTGAGGGGAAGTAATCTAGTAACCGCAAGATTTTGGAGATCCAATTAGCCTAACATCAAACCCTTGAGATGGTGCCAGTCAAACTAAGGCAATCTGCCTCAGAAACGCTGAGTAGAGAAAAGGGAAGGAATGTAGATAAGACTTTTGTCATTTAACCATTAAAAGGTGGTCAAACGTTGCCTATCTGTGTTTCGAGGCCTCGAGGTTTATTCGAGGAGTAGTTCATTCTAGAAGGACCTTTTATACCCCAGATATAATTGCTCACTGGGAACAGATGTAACTATTCGCCGCTACAGCAAACATAATTGCTCTCCTCCGTCTATGAGGCAGGTTTGAGAGTGGGGATGGGGGGAGAGGCTTCCAAAATTTCGGTGCTAGCAGTAGCAGCAACAATACCAGTATTCGTACAGGGTGGGGGGCAGTGGGAGATCGGGAGGAGGGAATGGTATTCTAGAACGGGGAAGCAATTATGATGCCTTTCTCAAATACCCACCCCACCTTCAATGTCGACACAGCGTGGGGAACAACTCGCTCCCCACCCCTCCTCTTCTCTCAGCGTTCCCATCTCTCAATGCCTGAAAACGAGAGGAAACTATGTAAGTAAATCAAATTAGTGCGTGCCAATGAGCATAGCGACCAGCAGTACTTACCGGCTTATTGACAACGGCAACACGCTCGAATTCCCCTCCAGGAACGCCAACATCTTAAAATCACTTCATCACCAAACAAAGGCTTATTGGCGAGATACAGAGACTGTGGAGATTCTCAAAACGATGAGAATGTTTTTAGATACGCGATCTCCAAAAAGGGGCACAAACCACTAACACACGTGGAGGAGGAGCCATACTATGCCCTAAACCTATTAAATATTTTTTTTGGAAAAATGTAACCACAGCAATTGTTCCATAGAAAAATCTACTATTACTGGTAAAAATGCGAGGTTACAAAAAAAGGAAATAAACTGGGAAGTGCAAAAAGGGAACCGACTAAATGAAAGTTGTTGATTGAGGCTTTTCTCCTTAAAAAGTGTTAAGAATCATCAGGATTTGTAACTGTTGGTGGTCCATAGCGTTTCACATATCGTCGATAGCGTTTCTGATTGGTATCCTCTGAGGCACGAACTCGTATTTCCTCCTCCATGACCTCCCTGTAGGCCTTTAGACAAAATAAAGGTGGTTACAAATCGACCTACTTATACAATTTAAGTCGACAATTAGAGATTTCGTAGATACCTTGAAATTTTCACGCCTCCATAATTCCAAATGATTGTAATAAGCTCTACTTCCCTCGTCCAGACTATCCCACCGTGACTGATTGTAGCCGAGTCGCCGTCGTGTCAGATATTCCTTCTCCTCGGGTCCGTAGGGACGTCGAAGAATCGTAAAGAGAACAATCCACCGCAAAGCCCACCAACAAAAGCGTAAAATGTGGTAAGGCAAAATGACCAGTTGAACAACAAGGGTATTGCGGATACTGGGCGGCCCACAATCACCTCTGTAGGTGAAACCGGAATAAAGTCAATTCAATGCCGATAAAGGGGGGAGAGAAAAAGGCGTGATGAAATCCATTACCGAAGTTCGAAGTTCTCAGCAATTACAGAACGAATCACTGCTTCCTCATAAGCCTTTATCTCGTCCTTGGTAAGCCGACGTCCCACCTTTTGTTTAGCAATTTGAAAGCGTTTTTCAGCATTGGCCAACTCCTTTGCCTTGGTGCGATATTTTGGATCCCGAACGAGAAATGCGAGAGCCTGATTGTGTTTTGTTTTTTGACTAATGTACTAAAAATAAATTATTCGTGCATATATCTTGATCTTCATAGTTCACATATAAAGGGAAGCACTCACTTGAATCGCAGACAAAATAAATATGGTGGACAGGCAAACCAGTCGAACATCGATTTTGGGAGAGTACCTTCGTTTATAATAGCGATAGTAATGATAGTACATTTCAGTGGGATGGTCTAGCATGTACTCATATTCCTGCCTTTGTTCTGGATCGCGTAAAATCTGCAGTTAAAAGCATGTAGAAAGAAGTTATGGGGAACACACCTCATAGGCTGTTGCAATCAGACGAAATGTCTCTTCGGCTCTGACCTTTTCCCCAGTAGTTTTCTGCCTGTCTGGATGAAATTCCTTCGCAAGGCTGCGATATGCTCGCTGAACGGTGACAGTGTCGGCATCACGACTAACTCTCAATACTGAAAGTTCAGCGGAAGGTGATGTTATGACACAGGTTGAATAAAAGGGTACATAAAAAGCTTAAAAAATGAATACAACACAAAATTCATATTAAACGACGAGGATTCTAATGCATAAAAAGAGCTGAGAACAAGGCTAATAGCATAGCGAATTGGAACAAAAAACAAAGTCAAATTAAATGCTGTCAGGTCAATTAGGAGAATGCCAAGATGTGTAGCAGCATGCACGTCCATTAAAATCAACTAAGCACGCAAATTCATTTCAAGAGCAAATTCAAGTTTTTAGTGCCTATTAAATCTAGCCTTAAAAACCTGTTATAGATCCAATGCCTATCGTTTAAGTCGTTAAAAGGAGCAAGAAAAACAAAGGCATTAATGAAAAGTGCAAACGTACAATATTACACAAAGAAAACCATCACAAACCTACCATCGAAACACGACTGTTCACCGCAGTAAATCCCCACTAACTGTCCATCAGTTAAATAAACGAGAAGCAGAGTCAATATCTGAGTACGCAACATACAGGTTAAAGAAGGCACCTAGGCTAGCTCTCTGTGTTGACGTAGATTATTTTAAATGAAGAGTAGATAAGATATTTGAGCAATCCTGCATTGTGCTAGCAAGCGCTCTATTACTACAGTAAATGATGGGTCCAGCATCAGTGAGTAGCCATATTTAGCATGTGAGAAGAAAGTAGAAAATATTAACGCCCAAAAAGTGCCGTATATTTGCAGACTCTTCTAAGGCAAAACTAAAGTATTATCAGTTGCACCGTTTAGTTGGAACACATATTCCGGAAAAACAGCAACACCAGATAACCAAAAAAACGCACAGAAATCATGGACAGGGACCTTAACAAACGATGCCAAAACTAAAACTCGCGGAGATTAAAATACTAGAAACCTTTCATCCGAAAGTTACTTCCAGATAAGCCTAAACATTTTCTAGTCCAAAATCTCGATTTGACGCGCGGAACTGCAAGAATGCGCGAAACCCATTTGCTGAAACAGTAAATTGCAATGTAACCACCAAACCTAGGACTGGGCAAACCTCTAACCCATCCAGTTTTGGGACCCCCCAAGTTTGTTTGAATTAGTCGGCTTCCAAGCGGGGAGTTCAGTCCGAGATGTCGTCTCTTAAGCATATGGTGTCTTCAACTGATTCCTCTGATGGTGATGCGGTAATGCTTGTTCTAACTAAGTTCTGGTGTTTTCCGTTTCATGTGTTCAATCCCGTTTAGTGGGCGTCCTCAAGGAAAAGTTCCAAAAAGAAGAGACCTCGACTTGAACATCGCTCGAGTGATCCAGAAGAGGGTGAAATCCCCAGTGATGCGTTTGACGACGACGAAGATGATGGATTAGACGATGACTTATATGGTGGTGAAGAGGACAAGCAACGTTTACTGAAAATGAGTGAGAAAGAAAGGGAGGAAGAGCTTTACCGCAGGAGCGAGCGCCGTGAGGCGATGAAGGTTTGAGTTAATTCTCTTTCCAACGCCATCCCAGATCCGAAGAGATGTAAAAAAAAGGCTGAAGGAGAAAAAAGAAAGGGAAAAAGCTGAACGCGCTAATAGGGAACGTTCGGGGGAATCACCAAAGGACAAATTATTGAAACCAATTAAGAAGAGTTCTGCTTACGCCAACGTGTACAGTTCGGATAGTGATCAAGGAAGCAGTTCGGAGGATGAATCGACCAAAGGCGGTCTGCGGGACCGTAAACTTACCCTGGCCATGCAAAAGGCACCCAGTTTTCTTTGAGTCCTTAATGTTTTTATACAGGAAGGGCGGTCTAAACGACTGCAAGAACTTGCCGACCGTCGAAAAGAGATTAAAAGCAAAAAGGAAACTCTTTACTCCGCTTCTGATGATGAACGAGTGGAATCTCATTCTCAACCCAAACATCATTCCCGAAGAGGTGTTTATTCAAGTTCGTCGTCGGATTCTGATTCTAGTCGCTCCATGATTGGACAGTCTGTTCAAAAACGACGAAGGTAAAGAATGCTTTTTAAGTCCCTTTTTACTAACCCCACTTCTTAAATCCTCACTATTCAGACTTGTGTTTTCTTTCATAGTACTTCCAGTTATTCCCGGTCATCCTCAACTCCATCAAGTGACTCCAGTGACGACGATCGGGGTCGTAGTCGTTCACCGGAGGTTGAATACATAACAACGCTTGAGCAACTCTCCAAAATCAGGCTTTCACGATTTAAATTGGAAAAATGGGTTCACATGCCCTTCTTCGATGTATGACCTCTTTCATTCCTGCCTTCAGGCACATTCACATGCTTCGTCTATTTAGTGGCTGTTCTTTTCACTTTTAGAACCTGGTAAAAGGGTGTTTTGTGCGGATTCACATTGGTCAGTGTAGAAACGTCCCTGTCTATCGGTGTGGAGAAATCATTGACGTGAAAGAGATGGCAAAACCATATGACCTGGGCAAAACAAGGTAATAATGCGTCACTTACCGCTCTTATTGAATGCCAAACCCCGATTAATGCTCTGCTTTTCACAGACTGGGGCTTTCTAAGTACCAAATGGGTTGGATTGTCTTCAAAAAGATGCTCCAGTTTGATAAGGCAGGCTTTTAGACTTATTCCTATTTTCGCTCCTTTTAGGACAAATAAAGGTATCGTCATCCGACTGGGCAAGGATCAGCATACGTTCCGTTTGATGTTTGTGTCTAATTCGGAATTTTTGCCGGTGGAATTTGAGAGTTGGAAAAAGTACTCCAATCAGGCTGGCATAAAGCCACCCACAACTTCATTCATTGCACAAAAAACCGCTGAAATCCACAAGTACCTGACCAATCCCATCAGCGATGAGCGCGTTGTTGAACAGGTGAGCACCTTTTGTAAGATCCCTTCTGGTTGCATTCGGGCAAGCCTTTCATGTCCAGTTATCGGTAAAGATTCCGTATTTGGGCAATTACAGGACTATAATGTTTAATGCTTTTAGATTATTCAATCCAAGCGGCGTTTCCAAAAAGTTCCCATTAATTTTGCCTTAAAGAAGGCAGAATTGCTAAAACAGCGCGAATTAGCAAACGAAAGTAACGACACGGAAACCACACGTCGGATTGACATGGAGCTGGATGAACTGGAGACCCAAGCCGAGCGAATTGAACGGCGCCGGACCATTGGATTTAAGGCTATTTCGTCTATCAACCAACGAAACCGTGCTCTATCCTTAAAACAGGCCGAGGAGGCCATCCTAAAGGAAGCTAAGGAGACTGCGGAATCGCATGAGGTTGATCCGTTCACGCGAATCCAATCGAAACCCGTGATTGCTACAAAGAGCTATCTAGAACGTCTGAGAAACATGAGAGTATGTCCCTGGGCACGTATAAGTGACTTAATTCCTTTCTCTAGTGGTATTTTATTCCTTCTAGAACGGAATACTTGACGAAAATGCTGGTGATGAGAAGGATGGTACCGGAGCAAAAGGGGAATCTGAATCCGGATCACAACTGGATGCAAATAAGGCGGACAAACCGTCAAAATTTACTGCACAACCACCAAAACCACCAGAAGAGTCGTTACACGATATACACGACTTCGAGATTGACATCAATGTGGAGTTGAATGAGAACAGTAACAGGCCAAGTCTTGAAGCTCATGACTCGGGGGTGCGTCGGCCCGTAACAACCCCCATTGTGCCTATACATGGGTCGACGACAGGTAGCAACGCCGACCAAACAAATAGTGACAAACCCCACCGTCGCTTCCTCAACCTTCAAGAGTACAAGAGGCGCCGAGGGCTTATATGAGATTGATGTTTCTATCTGTACATAGTTTATAAACGACCTATTGACGTTTCATGATACTTGGATATGCAGTCAAAGTCTCTCAATAAAAGTAATTTTATAAGCGGATAAATTGCTCCACTTGCTATTCGTCAGGACGTAACCGTGTACTTGGCGGGTGTGCGGTGCGCTGTACATATGCTATTAGAAAGTGGATTATCTTCTCCTCATCTACAACAAATTGGCCATAAGCACATGGTTCGTGTATTCACAGAGAAATAGGTCGGACTATCCACAAGGAGAGTCTAAATATAGCGAAATATGACATCCTTCGGGTTGAGAATCATTCTCGGTTCAATTTTTACAGGACAACGCAGGAGGTAAGATAGCATTTGCTCGCCATACCCAACGAGGAAATATATCTCGTTAGCAGAAAGACGACTCGACAAATTAAAACATATGTGCACCATATTAGCTTGTCGTCGAATTATTATCTACAGAAAGACGATGATGATAGAAAAGCAGCAAATTACTTCACTAAGTATATAGGTCGGAAAAGTTCCTCGGATGAACAATCGAATAAGAGAATCGTGCCAGGTTACAATACCAGTATAATGATCCTCATCATGAAGATTCGCCGTATTCCAAGAGTTCCAGGACTTAAGTACGCCAATCTGGTGAGGTTTCTTGGCCTGCTCATAGGTCAAAGGTTCTGACATGTTGCGAGTTCTACGGACCACACCAGATCTGGTGTTTTTTAGTAAATATGATGATGTGTGGATGGTTTGAGGGAATCGGAACTCTTCCGCACAACACCGGAACCTCACCAATGGAGCAAACATGGCAAAAGCCAAGAAACCCAAAGCCGATTGGTTACTGGCAATGGCCTCAAGTTTCACTGATGAAACAGCTCGTAAAAAAAACATTGGCCTATATTTCCCTTCTTAAATTGCAACTAAAGCTTATCTAAACATTTAAAATTATAAAATATATCATTTATAAAAAAAGATGGTTATAAAGGGGCTAGGCGGAATCTTCGTAATAAAAACATCAGCGAAAATTCTAACACTATTTTGCAGCAGTTCTTTTCCGAATTTGTTTTAGACAAAAATTCACTTTATGCAGTAACAGCTTTTAAGGGAATATTAACGTCATTATAATACGGTAGCGGTTTATCCCCTGGTACTAGTGCGGCGCCACTTTTGTACTTTGAATCATCCCCCTTGTACCTCGCTGAGTGGGCTGGCCTTTTGGACCATTCCAATAGCCCAGACACCTTCTCTGCGCTGAATATGTATTCTGCCCGAGTATTTTGTCTTCTTTCATCTTCAGGGAGTCTCGGGACGCTACACCATTACAGGACCATACTCGGGTTAGGAAGACAGTTATCATCCCGATAACCCTAGCTGACCATACAAAGGATGGAAAATGGATTGAATTCGTTGAATTCAATTGAATTCATTGAATTCATTCATTGAATTCGTTCGGTAAACATTCTTGCCATCACTTACCCAAAAAGATATTTAGCAAATGAATCAACACTGCTTTCCGCCATTTCTAATATTGCCTTCTTCGAGCTGAATGGCTGTCTGTATATTTGTAGCTTTCGGAGACTTCATTGAAAACGAAAGAAGCACTTTTACTCAGGCGGCCTCATATATTTTTGACATTCAAAAGGGACTAGGACTACTGGCATGACTCAAAGGCTAGCCCACCCGGTTGTAATGTAGCGTCCCGAGACTCCCTTAAGACGAAAGAAGACACAATACTCGGGCAGAATATATGCATTCAGCTCGGAGAAGGTGTCTGGGCTATTGGCATGGCCCAAAAGGCCAGCCCACCCAGCGAGGTACAAGTAGGCTAATTAAAAGTCCCAAAAGTGGCGCCTCACCAGTACCGAGGGATAAACCACTATCGTATTACATACCCTCCCTCCTCTTTTGAGCGTCGTCCCCGGCGCTCCCACAAGTCAACCTCCCGCGTCAGCCATTACAACGTAGTCGGTGCAGTAAAGAAACACCCACGAGCCGACCGTGCTAGTCACCAAATTAGTGCGCAACTGAGGGGATACTTGACCTCAACGTCGCTTACCCCTCTTGGCGGCTTGACTGGATCTAGGATTTCGTCCGGTTTAGGGATTTGATTCAGGAAGGGGAACTGCGCCGGCCATCATGCGTGTCCATAGATAGATGCAGGAACACTGGCCTAAAAGCAGATTTGAGTAAGGAATTACAAGATTTAAAACAGGTCCATGAGGGACGGTAGGGGAAATCCGTAACGGAACTTCCAGATGGTTCACGGCTAGTGTCGCTTCAGTTGTTAATAGCTTTTCTGCAGAACAGGGGACTGGGAGAGATGCCGAAGGTAGACGTCAACACCAGCCCTTCTGTTAGGGGTCATCACCATTCTCCCATCCGTAGCATATGTACTTCTTCCGTCCCACTAAGGCTTATCAGGCAGAAGTGGAAAATCAGGATACATGTCCTTTAAGATCGGGTTCGCTTTCCGCTGCCACCAATGTAGCGTCCCGAGACTCCCTTAAGACGAAAGAAGACACAACACTCGGGCAGAATATATATATATTTAGCACGGAGAAGGTGTCTGGGCTATTGGCATGGCCCAAAAGGCCAGCCCACCCAGCGAGGTACAAGGGGGCTAATTCGACGTACAAAAGTGGCGCCTCACCGGAACCGAGGGATAAACCACCATCGTATTACAGTAATTCAATGGCCAAGTCAAAGGAGGTTGTTTACCAAAACCAAACGTTAAAATACCAACCTATTACACGTGTATTAAGATAGATACATTTGTCAGGATTCGATTGTTAGCAAAGAGGTGGAGTTCAATGGGATCCTTTCCTCTTAGATCTACTTAAATTCGCTTATTTCATTAAAATGTTCTTCTTTTAGCAACTGAAATTATGCGGATTTACTGGTTGTAAAACATCGTGATTAATATGATCTCTGGTTTTTTAGTCTCCAATAAATTGCATTTTTGTCTCATAAGCGTTTCCTAAATTATTGACGTCGCTGTAATAGCCGAAGTAGAAGGGTACACAAAGGGAGCTTCCCAAAGTGAACTATCCGGCGTGTCGCGATGATATTAGCCTCAATGAAGGGGCCACCTCTGACTCATTTGTTAAAATACAAGTTACCACCAGCGTAAATTGTAAATAATTGCAAGAATGTTTTAAATAATCAAACAAGATATCCGAGGACTTGTAAAATTTGTATTCAAAAGTCACTAGGCTATTCCACTATCATTTGCCCATTTAAAATGGGATATTTTCCTGTGGGTTTTTACTGGAAATAGTTTTGGTCAGCATTTCTTTAAAGTTGAATTTTTGTTAAGCTTAGGAACAATAAGTGATTTTAGCACCGAAGCTTAATCAATTCATCCAGTACAATTAGTACAAACAAAAAACGGTTCCTCAATCTCTTCGCTAAATGGGGTAAAATATAATATACATTTAATATATTAGCTGCCCACAGTGAACCACAGTATTTAGTAATTTTTGAATTTGTAATCGAACTGTAGCAAATTAACTGCCCTTGGAAGAATCTTTGTTTTAATACGGTATATTTTCCGATACTAACCTAAAAATCACGGGCGCATACAAATCTTCGATAGAACATTTGAAAATGTGAATAGATTTTTTCCAGACACACATCACGAGTCAGGTTAACTGGACTGCCACTCATTCAAAACAGACTTCGCATGTCCTTCTGCAAATTGGAATAGTGGAGCTTGGATAGTACTTGCAATAGCCACTTTGTTTCAGGATTTTGCAACTCTTTGAGGTATCTGTGCATGGACCTAAAAGGAACGAAATCTGTCGTAAACACAAAGTATCCGCTGTCATGTAATCGAGGAGGTTATTTTACTCAAATTTCAAGTCTAAATGGCGGTCATCGAATTCCAATGATAGATTCCTACACTCATTCCTCTTTTGATCCTTAATAATTTGTAAATCCCTTTGTGCTCACCGCATTGTCCAACCATGGTATATCTTTCCCCAGCTAACCATCTTGACCTAAGAGTCTGAAAATGCTGGAGTTAGGTGGGAGAAACATCGAAAATATTACTTCAGTACAAGCAGGACGCAACAGAAGGTACGCGTCCACTAGAAATTCCTCCATCTGTACGAATGCCAAAGCGCTGCATCTCCACCTACCGCGTTTCCTCCAAAGTGGAAACAACTCCATTAGACAATTCGACAAGCTCGAATTTACTCGGCGAGTTTTAATTAGCCAGATAGCGGTGGCGAAGGGTCAACCCTAAAGCACCGTACAGAATGGCTGAGCCGCTTCAAGCTATGCTGTAAGGCGAGAGCATATAAGCCATTGCGGATAGTTTCACGGTGAATTGTGCGAATGCTTTTTGGCTACTTTTAAATTTTATTAAAACGATGTCGATTTGGGGGATCAAAAACTCACCACAGTTATTGCAAATGTTAGGACATCGTTGAAAGGTGGCAGTATTCCTGCAATATGATTGGTACTTAGGACATTCGCCCGGCGGGTCACCATTTCGACATGCTTCCGAGAGAGCCTCCTTCAGACTTGCCTCTCTAGACTTCGCTTTCAACGAATATTTTGTCGAATTTGCCTCAACTCTTGGCAAATCCGTCTTGGCGGGAGTCCAGTCGGTTGGTGAATTGGTTAAATCCGTCTCTAAAGGTAAACAACGGGAGACGGTAGGGTCATCAGGTAAATTCGATAGTGATTTGCTATTTTTTAGTCCCATAAACAAACAGTCGCAACGAGTGCAGTGGTTTTGCATTTTGTTTATCTGTGTTTTGGGGGACGCGGGCACTTCGATCCTTGCTTGTTGTACTTTCGCTCCATGACATGGATCGAGAGCCAGTCCTACTGTACGTTAGTCAGTAGTCTGTTCCCCCAAACCAGTTCAACTGTATAGGGTGCGAAGGAGAACACGGTAAATTAATTTAAAATGTGGTTTAGAGCCTACTTGTAACTAAAAAAGAAAAAGAAAAAAACTTTTCTTTCGTACTAGGAGTCACCGTGGAGGTATCGGACTGGCAGAATCCACAGACTGCTCTACACTGCCTCTCCATCCATTTTTTGTGAGTGAGGCACATTTTTCGAGAAACCAAGCGCCTGCAATTTTGTGTGCCGTAGTTATTTCTACAGACGCTGGACACTTTTGTGGCGACGCCTCTCGCTGTCGTCGTCGTCGCACTCAGTGGGGGCGCGGTGATATTCACCCCAGATCTACATGAGAGAAACCATGGAAACGTGCTTGTAAAGTTTACATCCGTTGCATGAAATGTATGAAGTGAAAGAGCCGATGGGCACACTATGAGAAATTACAACTAATTAATCTTCCGTGCCCGCGCTTACGCCCAAGCAGTGGATAATACAGGCGTACCCCTCGGAGTTGGTACAAACACCGCAAGACTTGGCACAGTTGAAGTGCATCCACATTTTGTAGCTCGCACATCTACCCTCTTTAGCCCAAGCCTCACAATCAGAGGGGTACATGTAGCGGTCTTTGCATCCACCAGTTTCACCAGCGTCGTCCTTTGTTAGGTTGCAGAAGCCACAGCTCTCTGGACACATCATTTTCATATAACCGGAAGTCTTAGCGCAATGCCCCACACGTGCCCAATCAGCACAGCTCTCTTGACGGTCTTTGCATCTACAATATAAAATGGATTGTCTGTACTTCATCACAAGCAAGGCAAATAGAATCTTCTAGTTAGGAGAGAGGAAGTGGTGGTGAGATGCTTTGCCTTTCAAAAGTTTGGAATTAAACTGTTTGTTGGTCATGCCATTTGATAAACAATGGTTTCATTCGGTCAAAATAAGTCTGGTAACGCTGTAACAAGATTTTTCAAACGCGTCTATCAGCGCTAACACTTTGAAGCATTTGCTTTGATGCAGAGAAAATAGATGAGGCCAAGAAACACAAAATCTTTTGCTAAAATGAGAGGCGTAAATGTCATGCAATAATATTAGGCAAAATTACAATGCTTACGCGACTGAAGGTCTCACCGTAGCAGGAAGAATATTCTTATAGCAAAATCCGCAGGTTTTACGACAATAGGCGGTCATGAAGCTGGCATTACGATAGCATTCAAGTTTGTCGGCCAATTTTTGACACTGTAAATCCCCATGGGTGTCCACACACCGACGTTGAGCGAACGCTGCAATAATAGACAAGTTCATACAGAAAATGAAAATTTGAACATTACCGGTGGTTTTAAAAGTTAATTAATAAGTACCTTCTGGCGTTTGGCACTTGCAGAATTTGTCGATATACCCTGGGAAAGGGCAGAGAGGTTGGACGTTTTTACATCTATCTAGAGGATTAATCAAATGACTGTAAGTTCACAAAAAGCGCCACTTTGCTGTTACATGTAATTACCAACCTTCACAGCGATAATGAAGATTTAGTATTCTGGCATCCCAAAACGATATATCCTTAACGTACACAGCTGCCAACATATGTCTCATTTTTTCGTCCCTTACGTCAATCGGCGCCTTGTCAGCATAGACAGAAAATGACTAGGAAAGAAATGACATTTAAAATACGTAGCTTATTAAAGCAAATTCTTTATATACTAAATTATTAATAAAATAAGTGTCCAATCACAATGCTAGTACGAGAAATCCTCTGCCAACAAAACTTGAAATTAGCCTCTTGATTATGACAAACTAATCTAGCCCAAACAATAAAAGTGATTTTCATGGAAATTATTTTCTTATGTTGATTTTCGACCTTGATTAATATCGCGCTGGTTACAGTACTTGGGCGATTCATCCTCGGTTATGGTATTTCGAGGCAGGTTAAATGGAAAATCCTATGTTTGAATAATTTACTTCGGTTCTTACTTTTGTTGTTAAATTAACATAAGTTGATAACTTACAGATCGTCCATAGTGCATTATGGACTGCAAGTCGTAAGGAGAATCATATGTATGGAGATCCTCTATGGACTTTCTGGTGAAGAACAACTTAAAGTTCTCTGGCACGCCAGCATCATTGACACGAAGATATTTATCTCTGTCAGCGCGAGCATGTTCGTGATCAAGCCCCATTACGTGACCCAGCTCGTGCAGATACAGTCCGTACTAAATTGTGTGGTAATTAACAGAAGCTTTTTTTGCTAAGCACGTCAGATTTCTTAACAAGATCTTATGTACTTCATGAAGTTTTTTCAAATTTTGGATATTAATGGGTTTGTTTTGATAACTTACGAATCGACATCCGTTTCTAGAGAGAGTGATCGTCTGCTCGCCTGGGATGCCTTTAAAACCCATATACTCGGAAAAACAGCTAAACAAGGGGAGATAATACTTGACCCCAAATTATCAGTCACACATGTGAGCGCTTTAATACTTACGTATTTCCATCCGTTATACGCATCCAGTGCCTGTCACTTCGTCGATAAGGTCGGAATTGAACACAGGTTTCATTATTCCACACCTCAATTGCAGTCGCTAGATGTTTCATCTCTTCCTCCTCTATGATTATAAAGTCAATCTTTTGTCAACGGGAAGGGATATAATAAGTTAGTGTAAATAGGCAGTATCCACCATACTGAATAAGGATTTATCGATGATGTAGGGAATAACACCCTTAGGCCAGGAGATCGCATTAACAGGGATGGCAGCTCTTCTGGTACGGATCAATGGTGGGTCATCGCATTTCACCAGTGCCACAAGGAGAAAGGTTATCCAAATACCCCGCATTTGGTCTGAAAAATAAAGGTGGCCATAAATGCCATTAAAACGCCTAGACAGGCTGATAAGTGGTCGTCTTGATGGTGAATTGAGTGAGACGATAGATGACAGAGAAGGTGCGTATTTAGTCGTGCCGTTGTGTGAACGATAACACTAAACATGGAAGCTAATGTACCTTAGCCTGAGTGAATTGTCAGATTTTGGACTCCAGACCACGTCGGTGAAGGCTTGACGGTGTCGTGTATATATATATGCGCGCACACAGTCAACTTTGAATTGTTTGACGGTGTGTAAAAAAGTGGTTTGCACTTGCCATCCCTCGAAATGTGCCGGTAGTCTGTGTCACAAATTCAGTCGCGGTATAAACAGAGAACAGCAGTTATCGGCCTTCGAGTCTTTTTATTTTTGTGTCAAGCCAGGGGACATGACAATGCCTCGATGTGCTTGCGTTTTTAACGGTCTTGTAAAATGGTGGTGAAGAAGAAGGAACTGACAAATTGTTTGGGCTTAACAAAAGGACAGCTGCTGTTCAAATTTGAGGTTTTAGTGAAGCGACTCATCATTACTTTGAGTAACAAATCACCTGTGTAGTAATTAAAAAATTCCCTTTTTAAAAGAACATTCTAAGAGAGCACTGAGATAAGCAGCATTATTTTTTGCCTAAATCTGCTGCGAAAAACAAAGATCTATTCGTGTAAAACGAGGTGTTTACATAATTACATTACTGTTTACACATATTACATGCTCACACATGAAGTCCGAATGTACGCGGACATAGCCGCCAAAATAGCTTACTAGCATTGTAAACAAAAGTAAATTTGACAACCGTTAAAGACGGGGTGAAAAAAATAACATCATGAACAGGTATCTTATTTCGATGTCTTCCACATGACGACGTTTCAAGCTGTCAAAGTAGGACATTCACACCGAGCTCCAAATAGACACATCTCACATTAAAAATCCCGTTTTCAAAAAGGGTAAAATTAGCTCTAAAAACGGCAAACCGCAGGCTTACAGACCGTTGGAAGTTAAACCCGTAATTTCATTTCTCGAAAATCAGAACTGTAAGAAATAAGTAGGGATTGGGAGACGGTGGTTCTTTGTGCCCAGGATGATTAAAAACAGGCGTAGAAATGTAGACCATAAAACACACAATCAAAAGAGAAAAATTGTCTAAAAAACCACCTAAGGCCATGATATTATTAACTGCTTTCGTATGTGTTTGCGCACGCCCTTTTACTAATATTAAAAAATCAATCCATGGTCATCTCTTTTGGCGCATTCATCAGTAAAAAAAGCCATGTTTATTTGCGACAAGCAAAGTGCTACAAGAACAGCAAACGTAATGCGACACATTGTTAAAGTGGTATTTTCGTTCTTTTGTAAGTTTAAATGATCCGACTAGAACGTTTCGGTGCTTAAAATGGGTCGTTTGTTGCCCTTTTGTAGATAAATCGAAAGAAATTACGCAAAGACGTTATTGTTAACGATACAGTCAGAGGGTATTTAGGCCATGAATTGTTTTAACCGCTACATTTGCATTGCACATGTGAAGTGTGCATTTTTTAGATGTGATCTTTTTATTTTTATTGGTCACAGATGGGGAGGGTGCGAGTTAGGAAGGTTTTTAAAAACCCCAATCGGTTCTTTGAGTTTTGGCTGACAAACTTAGCGAAGGAGGTTAGAAATGATTCTTGGAAGATGTCCAGAGTTTATTCAAAGGTTTATCTTGGCAATATCTGTACAATTTGATGTAGGCACTAGTTTCTCTTAGGAAATACCCTATTAAACTCAACTCTGGTAAAGAATGCGAGATTCTCAGTGGCTTTGGGCCAAGTATCTGCAACATTTTGGACAAGAAATTGGAGGAATTTGCTTGTGAACATTCTCTTTCACTTTCGGAGGCTCTTGTGTTGGGTAACTCGCTATCGCACTCTGAGCTCCTCAGACGTTGCATACCGAAGGTAAGGTTATATTTAGGTGTCCTTCCCGGCCTTAAAAAGCCCTATTACGCCTTGTATCTGGGATTTGCTTGTACATCCCGTCCCTACACCCTTTTGAGACTTGTTTTTTTAAATAGCTCCTTTGAATTCTCTCATGTCTACGCGTGTGGGATTTGGTGTACTTGATTTTCACCTTTCGCAGTATTTTGATGTAAATGTTCAATGTTTTTTTCAATGCTTGTCAGTTTAGGTTGATGGTAGGTCGAAACTTGGTTTGTTGACCCTGAAATTAAGAACTTCTTCCTGCGCAATCATCTTCTCTTAACCACATACCTGCGAATCATGTTTCGCATTCCGCGTCGCCTCCTCTTGTGATCGAGGTGCTGTCTTGCCCATCTTCTTCACCAGTAGTGCATTCTTCCGCTGCAGTTGACGCAAATGCTGTTCATCTGGGTCCTCTATTATCTGAAGGGGATGATTCTCCTTCCGACTATCTCATCGGTAGATCTTACGACATTATTTTGCTTATGGATGTTCGTGAGACATTCGGGTATATGCTTTGACATGTATTGTGCACACATTTCACGCACACATAGCATCTCAAAGTGTCCATTTTAATCGTAGAATGTCAAAGGTAAAGGAACTTATGCAAACACAGGCGGTAAGATGGGAAGCTCGCAGTCTTCCTGTTGGTGACTTTGTTTGGATCGCGCAAAATGTCGGGGGTCAGCTCTCCTATTTGCTCATTTGTCCCATTAATTTTTTTTTTGGTATCCACCGTCTAAGGTGATCTTATTTCTTCTTTAAGGAACTTCTAAATGCGAAGAAATTGTCCTGGGATTGGTTATTGAACGCAAGCGGGCAGACGATCTTGCCTCGAGCATTGTTGACGGCCGTTTTATGGAGCAGAAAGTAAAGCTGTCCTTGCACCTTTTAAGTAGGTAGAATATGGCGTGTCGTGAATGCATAAATAATAAATGATTTGTATCCCTAGGGAAGAATGCAGAAGTTAGGCTTTCGAAAAATATACATTTTTGAGGAGTGCAAGTCCATGTACAACCTTCGCATATCACACGAAACACTTTTGCAGGCGATGGTTAATGCTCAGGTACTACTAGGTTATTAAACGCCTCTTTTCTTACCTTGGTCCCTTTTGACTGATTTGTCTTTGCCCCCCTAGCTGATAGATGAATGTGATTTCGTCACTTGTACAAGCGGAGAGCAATGCGTAGCATATCTTGCCTCAGTGACTCGTCTCCTGATCACCAAATCTCAGGTAGAGGCTCTCTAATTTTGGATTATTAAGGTCCCTTATCTTTTACACGTATCCTTACCTGATTCTTCAGTTTAACTGTGCGGTATACTCTGACGGACGCAGGCCTCAGGAGTCATTTGGTGGTGATCGGTTGTGGGGCATTCCCTGGACTGAATACATCAATCTGGGCAAGAAATCACCTGCACTCCCATTACGTGAACAATTTGGTCGTCATCTCCTCCAGATTCATTCAATCACTGGCTCCAAAGCGGAGGATATTGTTGGTTTGTTTCCCACTCCTAAGAGGTGAGTTTGTTCTCATCAACTTAGTCACCTTCCGTTTGTGTCTTCCTGTGTGAACCTCACGGTAATGTAATCTGGCACGCTCTCACCTTGAGCCTTGGTTCACACTGAATGGAGCATTCAATGGTACTTTTGTCTTTGGTGCTTATCAACTGTTTTCCCTCGAAGTTGTGAGCACTTTACCGTCCTTTTCTAGCCTCTTCGCTGCGTACGATAGTCTCGCCTCTGAGGATGAAAAGAAGGCAATGCTGATGCAATCCAGTCGCTCCTCGGGTCTCAAGTATGTGAAATGCTTCAAAATGTCTCCACACCTGGAGTCCTGAGAGTTTCGTGCTCTGACAGCTGAATTTTCTCAGGGTCTTTAACCCCCGCCACCTCTGTGTCAGTTTGCTTAGGCATCCACTTGGTGCACATTAGAACCGGGCTCTAGCGTTGCTATGACTCAGATCACACGAGGATCTGCCAATCAAACTCATCTCTCGTGCTGTCAGGTTCTTCTTCACCCTTCGTAGTTTCGACCCCAGTAGCAGATGTCAGCAACCTGCTGCACTCGGTACATCCAGTGCAGTAGCCACTTTCCAGCTTGGCTAGACTCCTTTTGTCTCCCTTTCGCCGGTAGAAGGGAAATTTGTACCCCCAAGATTCTTTCAAAGAGCCTCCGTCGGGGATGATAGCCTGCATATCGAAGTATAGAGATTGCCGACCAAGTGGATAGGAATTTAAGGGGCTTTCTTAGGTTTAACATTTTGTTCGACTAGTGCGTCCTCATTTCCTCTCCTTTTTTTCAGATCAATTAACAAGAAAACCAGTGAAATTATTTTCCATTTATACAATACTTTGTGAATACAAGTCGTAGTTTTATACCTATTCTACACTTGTACTGTTAAAATTGGTGGGTTTTTTTTACTTGTCAATTTGCGTCAAAAAATAAGGTCATCTGTGACGCCCTCTACATCGTCTGGAGATCAGACTCGCCTACCTCGCCACACCAAGACGCAGGCTATGGTGGTAGAAAACGTGACGTCTATCAGTGGGCTCAAATTATTTGAAGTTTATAGTTTTCAAGACGGCTATATTCATTGTCCTTTGAATTAACAGCTTTTTTCGTCTCGGTGCGTCGTTGAAAAATCTACCGCCTTATTTAGTAGGGCTAAAGTTGTTTCTCCTTGTCGCTGACCTTGTGCCACCTAACAGGTAGTTGCTATTATTTGTTTATCAGTAATCTGTACGATCGGCTTCTTTAAAAGTCCCATGGAGCCATCCTCGAGAAAGAGTGAGCAGCTTGATCGAAAGCATTCCTTTATAAGGTGGTAATTTTAGAAAAAACGGAGTCATACGTTTGATGTCTTGGATACACATTTACAGAGTCGGCCTCTCTTCAGCTGCTACCGGCTTCATTCTCCCCCCTTTGGGCCACCATGCGGTCACTCAGAGCCTGGCGGAAAGTGCGGTAGGCCTCTGTTTCAGGAAGATTAAGACGAAGGCTCTCGCCGTTTTCCACTTTTGGTAGGGGGGGTGGGGTGATAGGCTTTAGTGTCGGTTCAATTTTCTCTATCTCTTTCTCCTCCTCCCCCTCCTCTTTCACCTCGGTTACAGTTTCGTTAAGATTTGCCACAGGTTCGGGAATTTTATTAGCTGATAGACGTTTTATTGGTGATGGTCTCATGACCCGCAAATCGCTAACTCCACTGTCCTCCTTGGAGTCGCCCTCATCCCTGCTAAGAAGTCGGTACTGTGGTACTTGAATACCCATCTCGTAGTTTGGAACGGGATTGGGCCTTCGTAGTACATGCACCACTGAGCCCCGTCGAATGTTGTAATCACCCAACCGAACATTATCTTCCATCAGCCAGGAGCCGTAGCTAAGTGCTTGCAAGGTGACAGGAATCTTTGTAGCATCTTCTATGAACGACTTCAACTCGGAGACGAAGTCGTTCCTATTCACGTGTCGCTTGATCGTTAATCCACCAGGCACTTTGATGTAGATTTTGAAGTTGGGCTCAAAGTCCAGCGGGAGGGAAAGGTTTACCTTTGATTTATCGTTAATGCCATAATGTTGTTCGAGTAACTTCCCGTCCTCAAGAATGTGTCCATTGTAGGTTAATGTCTGCTTTTCAGGTGGAATGTGGTGAGTCTCCTCGATGATATCTCGCAAACGTCTCACACTCATGTCATTGTGCATGGAGATATTGAGCAACCGCCGGTCCTTGTATAAAACGGTTATTTTCATGCCTGACAAAGTGAGAGAGAATAGACGAGGAGGGAGACAAGTGGAATCAAAGGGTGTTGCTGTATACACTGCCTTTATATAGCACTAAGCATGTGTGCTCTCGGGTGTGAGGATGCTGGTGCAGTAATCACCCTCTCGATGCAGGTGTGTGCAAAAAGGTATTACAGCCTGTGTGATTGATCACTGAGGCATTCAATCAACGCGCCTTTATTGGCACACTAGTAGCACTGGCACATTGGCAAGCCTGTTGATATGATTACCTTACTTCCCCCCTCCTCCCCCCCTCAAATTTGTCCATTCAGTTGCGGTAGGGGGTGGGAAATTCAGGAGCCACCGGTAAAGGGAACGTTCATGTTAATATGATAAATAGAAGTGGAGTGGACTGCAAAATTGATGGAGGGCGAACGGTTACAACTGAGGTTTTCAAAAGAAGTAGCCGAGGCGGGTGAATCAGGGGGAAAGAAATCCGATTCCTGCTCCTGGAAAATGGGGCGAGAGACTTCATACCGCATATTGGGGTGAGCTGGATGGGGTGGAGGGAGGAAATTTGGTGATGGATCGCGACCCATTCTGGATACCATTCCCGTTCAACTTCCGCCTCCCACTGCTTACTCGTCATTCTCTAATTGACTCATCAAAAATAGGTTAATGTTGTAGCTAAATCTAGATTCCGGCATAGGCGAATCCACGGTAAGCGCCTTTGTGTTTTTAGTTAAGTAATTTTCCATAGTCTACTTGGCGTGCTTTGAAGAGTGCTAAATACACACGCGGTAGTCGATATTACCTCTTGAAGATCTCAAGGGCCTAGCTGAATCTGCTCGCCGAGATAGTAAATGTCGAAAAGTACCACTTTTCCATTCCCGTAGGCGTTCTACCTACTTGAGGCCGTCACACCAATGAATACCGCCGCAATGAGATATGTCTTAAGGTGACACCGCACGCACAGTGAGTGGTGTAGTTGAATATTCACGGAGTCTCTTCACTGCGCTTCGCACGCTCAGGTAAGTCTAGGTCACCTGAGTTAAAAGCAACACCTGTCAGCAAGCCGGTCTGACAAAAAAAAGCGCGCGGCCAAAGGTGTAGGTATGCTATGAAAATTGTCCCTCAGTAACAGTAACTTTAAAGAAAGTGGGCTGCCAAATAAAAACACTCAGTTTCTCATCAACTGTTTGTTATTTTTTAGTCACGAAGTTTCTAAAAAGTCGCGCTTGTTTGCTGTGCTAATAACATATTTAGGCGATGATATTACTTAATGGGGAAATCTATTTAAATCAAATTTTTAGCTTCTTATTTAAAGGGCTATTAGTTGTTCCGAATCAAACAAAAGCAGCATTTACTCTTAGAATAAATTAACGCCATTTTGCAAAGATGCTGCGAAAGCCTCCCCATTAAATAACTGAAAATGCTCGAAGTTATGAATAAGGGCCTCCTAATGTCACACGTCTCATTAACCTCCTCTCGATAGAGCGCTTTCGTCAGCCATACTACGAGATGGTATTCAATCCAAGTCTCTAAACCTGGAAGATTTCTATTTTTAATATAAGATTAGTTTAAATGATTTCATTGGCTGGCTGTGAAGAAACCTTTAAATAAATAGACCCCCTCTAATGGAGCTTGCACTTCGTATGTCACTTCAGCTCAGCAATGCACCTCCAACTGACAATAGTGCATCGTGAAAGGAATATCGTTTTTGTTTACACAAATGACAATAACTACGTACTGCGGGTGAAGGAATACATCACCAGGGTGACCGATATCCCAGTCGGAGTTCAAAAGTTGTCATTCGGTGGAATGCAATTGAGAAATAACAAGAAATTGAAAGACTACAATCTACCCGTGAATGCTGGCTTAATTCTTACCCTATCGCAAGGCCACGCTCTCAGATACCAAATCTTCGTGAAGGTGTCCTTCAGGAATAATCCAATCCGAGTGCGAATTGGTCTGGGCACCACGCTGAAGCAGATTCAAGAAGCACTATCGTCTTCATTGCAGGTTCCTGCAAATCAGCTTATGCTCTCCCACAACGGTCGATTGTTCGCAGAAAAGGATGCGGATAAAACGTTGGTGGATTTGGGTGTTAAATCAGATGAGGTGCTCGAATTGATGGTCGTGGAGATGAGTTGATGAAATTTGAACAGTGCCTCCATCTTATGTCAGTTAAATGTACATGCTCCATCCCACAAATACACAAAATTGTGTGGCCACTTCTTGCTTTTTTGTTATACAGGAAGGCATCCTGCGTTTTTTTAACTCCACTATCTGGCTATCCTCAGCATCAAGCTTCGCCAGCCATTTCCCACCAACATTGTCACCTACAAAGTCGGTCCATTCTTAATAAGTAGTACTGTGTGTAGTTGTGCCGCCTTTGAAAGAGAGAGGACTGTCAGTCAGGCCGCTTATACTTTAATCGGGATACTCGCAACAAACTCATTAGATTAATAATGTGCAAACACAGCACTCGTTCCATATTTTACCTCCTCTGGTTGCGTTAACATGCCTCTCCACGTATCAATCATCTTTAGGCAACGAGTCCTCACCCAACTAACAATTAATGAAAATCTCCTCGTTTACAACTTGAAGGCTCGCACCACCAAGTCTATCAACATCCCCACTAGGGATCAAACACTGACATTCGACGGAGTGTTGCTTGAAAATTGCCGTCTTTTGAGGGTATACAAGCTACCCTCAGTGGTAGATATCAACATGAATGTGCCATTGAGCTGTCCCATTAAATATAAGGTATTCATCACCGCACCATTTCAAAATCGACCCCTGAAATTGCGTATGAGGATGGAGAGGACATTGGGAGAGATGAAAAAAATTATTGAGCAATATGAGCAAGTGCCCTCGGATCAACAGATTATCGTGTATGACTGCTGCATTTTTGACAGAGTGGATGATGCCCTAACCCTCGCGGCCTTGGGAATAAAGGACAATGCCAAAATTGAGGTGATCTTAAAATACAATAAACGTGAAGACATTGATAGTGTCAAGACCATGCGTATGAAATCAAAAATGTCCACTTTATCCCCCTCGATCAGACAAGCATACCCAGACTCCAACTCGGAAGTGGTGATCGAACGATATCGGCCGAAGTAGTTCACCGAGGAGATACAATTTCCTGGATTTTTGACTGTGAACATTTTTAAATTACTAATTCATTTCTATGACTTTTTTGTTAATAAAAAAAAGAAACAAGAAATAAAAGGCAACGCTACTTTGCAGAAGAAGCACTCAGTGTATCCTATTGGTGTAATCTGTTTCAGCCATCTGTCATTCAAAGGTAAGATTAGATCGTTAAAACAACGTCATTCAGGGGATGTCTCACTGAACTTACCCGATTGGTGAATCAAGGGGGTTGCTCTGTGATTTTGATAGCCCGTTTTCAATTTTGCGGGTGAGTTTGCATCTCGTGATTGATAGCTGAGCAGTTAACTATAAGTCTGGAGACATCTACGAGGTGAGATCAGTCGATTGTAGGAGTTACTCTACCAACTTCATAAGCTGGAGTAAGTCATGCTGAATCAGGTATGCGTAAAGCAGCCTATCCAACCAAATACTCAAGTGGGGGTGCTGAAGTAGTCGCTTCACTTGTACACAGGAAAATAAATGCAGAACTCACCTCCCTGTTAATATGCGAAGAGTTGAACAATCAAATATGTTACAGTTCAAACAAATTAACTACCATTTATTTGAAATATTTTGACCAGTTTCGCCTTCACAATGGAAGGGGAGATGGAGGGGAACACACATTTCAGGTTACAACTAGTCGTTCTTCTTGAAAAAAGACTCTTTTGCTTGATAGAATTGATTCTCACCTTCATCCTCCACCTCGGCTTGCTTCTCTCTCCAGAACCACACAAAGTTGATCCATATGTAGACGAGGAATGCCACCAACAGGCCTACAGCGCAGTACACCGAGGTCAGCATTAGGGGCAGAAATTCTAAGTGTGGATACACACGAGGAAGAAGGATTCGATTAACAGCTAGAAGAGGGATCAAGCCAAGAAGGTGGATTCGAGCGAGACTAGTCAATTCAGGCCAGAGAGTAGACAGAAGACCGCCAGTAACTGGATTTGACGAGCGTCCCAACAGGAGATATTGAGTTAGTGTGTAGAGTAGGTAAGAAGACAGAACAATGGGTTGTTCTAAAAGAAGCGGGTAGCCATGTTCTAAATTTACTCGGGGAGAGGAATGCCGTTGGAGTTGTTTACTTTTAATACAATTAAGAAGTGATTAATTCGCCAAATTACATAGCTATGGGAGGATTTAACAAGGACCGAATCAACGCGGAACTATGAGACTACCAAACCTACCATTTGGAGTAAATATCAATGGAAGGAGGCTAAAGTGAGCAACGGTGTTGACATAAAAGGCGATTCCCCGAAGTCGTCGTGAAGCCACAGCTAAAAATCTGCAATAGCTAAAGCACATGTTGCACCTTTTTTACTCAAAAGTTCACAGAGAAAAAAGGACCCACGTTAATGGAAGAGTTATCATAAGAACAGCCTTTTCATGAACATGCCAGCCAAAGAGGAAGGACGCCCAAGCCGCGGCAACAATGGAGCGAAGAAGAATGAAACCGGAATCTACTGCTTGCATACCATCTCTATGCCACTGGCAAAATACCAGACTGGGCTATAATAAAGAAGCGATTAAATATTAGTTTTACACTCCTCGGACAGTTGGAAAGAATAAAGGGAATTACAAGCATGAAAAGAGCAGTCAACAGGGCTGTGTGCAGAGGTCGGATGGTGAGTAGACAGAGGTGTTCATAGTTGCCCGTCAGTCCACTGGTCATTGGCACCTGATTCTCCAAAGATCCTGTCGGCTGGCGCAAACATAAGTGGGAAAATAATCCTGAAGGAATCACAATGACTTGTAAACAAACTGCCACTTGGGAGGGGACAGGTAACAGGAAATTGGAGTATTTGCATCCAACATGGTCTACGTTCAGCTACAGGGCTACTAAGTAGACATAAGTAGTATTGGTGACGGGGTACAGCTGATGCAGTGAACAAGTGAATCCCGGTACATTTACTACTTTTTTTCGCAGCGAAAAATTGAATAAATTGGTAAAACAGAATTAGGGAAAGGAAAGGCTCGTCACTTGATGACATAATCAACATAAGAATACGCAGGATGAGAGTGCTGGCGAGACTGAGGTGATGCCTTTTAACAACCCTCCCAATCTCATCCTTAACTCATATTATTTTCCAGTATGAGATCTTACGCCGCTCTCTAACATCGGAAATAGAACTTCACGTCTACTGATTCGCTCGTCTTGGGAAATTATTTAAAAGAAGTTTGACTGGTACGCCGCGAAGTTGACTCGCATGGAGTGGACAGACCACAGTTGTATTCGTTTGGCCAGTAGCAGATGAGCGATACTGTCGCCATACCGAAGCCACTTCCCAGCACAGCTCAAGTAGACAGTCAGTAAACAAAAGATGTGGTTCTCGATAGCCGGTGCAGAAGAAACAGATTCACAGTCGTTTAGATGTCCTCACAAATCTTTATGCTCATGTGGATGACGACCATCCATTTCATGATCTCCACAACCTTCCCCTTTTGATGATGTGATGGCGGCTTTGATGTCACCAAATTGATTTATCACACTATTCTAGTCCCTTACGGCACGACATTCTATACTTCCGTCGAAAGAAAAGGACCCTCATCTGATTCGCCTTCAGCTTCGTCCCTGGAATCGACTTCCACTCAACTCCTAAGGCAGACGGCGCACCCTTCACATTCAACCAAAATTCCGTAAAAAGTCCTCTCCAAATAGGAGTACCCAGACGGACTGATACTAATTACTTATAAATGCTCATAAATAGTTACGCGCATTGGATAAACGTCCACAAGTCTCAGTGAAATAATGCCGAAATACACGATCTCCTTGCCTATGAAATACGTGACTCATTATAGTACAGAACAATAGCTACTGAAAACCGAAATAAGTAGCAGTGACTCTTATACCAATTGACCTACAGTAACTCGATTGGTAGCCTTTACTAGTTCAATCATCCCAAGTAATAAAACATACCAGAGGCACTAAACATCTTATCCGCAGCATTGTACAAAGCCCAGAAGTTTGGAGCCCAATAGGAGTGGCACAAACCACGTTGAAACGGAAATAACCTTGCAAGCAACTCTGCCAATTTACCCTAAAGAACGAGCACATATTGTGGGGACGAAATTAAACTTACCCAATAGATAAAAGGCGCCAAAGAGACTGTGAATACAATACCAACAACTGCAGCCATTAGGAACAAACGGCCAAGCACAACTTTGACTCGACCACTCTCTAGGGCAGTGAGTCTATTTAAAGAAAGGCCAGACTACCTCTCTTTAGGCAGTAATGAAAGAGCATAAAAACAAAGTAGACGGGAGCAACATAAACGAAAATATGCTTGAAGTTGAGCAAAACAGAAAACCAAAATCCACTCCATAGGAAATTTCCCTAAAAAAAACAACGGAAACCATTAAAGGAATAGAGCGATCCTACCTGAAAGGCTTTGAGGATGGATAGGAATAGTATGCCAAAGAGAAATCCGTTGTACTGAAAGTGAATGTCTTTAAAGGGACAAAACGTTAAAGAAGTCGGATGGATGGGGACGCAGCTATTGATGGGTTACATTTTACCAAAAAATATGGAAAAATAAAGGATACGATCAACCACAAGTAGTCCAAAATTAAAGGCGAAGAGAAAGGTTGCAGTCAAAAAGGTTATACGAGCCTTATCTCCAAGCGGTCCGAATATTTTATGCAGCATGCTTAACACAGCACATACGGAAGAAACACCTAACTTACCTACAAATTGAATAAAGGAGGAGGCATTCAGACAATAAAACCGTTATACGTTGGAAGTAAATTGTAGTTAATGAGGAGTAGGTCTCAGTAGACAGAACCACCATTTTAGGGTCCAATTTGCTACCAATTTGTGCCAGAGCCCACTCAAAATAGGCAAAGAAGGGGGGATAATCCAAAGTCCACTTGCTTGTAGCCTAAGGCAAATGATATGATCTAATGAATGGGGGGAGCTAACCTCACTGTACCACTCCGATATGTTGGTGCAGTATGTGATAGCAAGCCAATTTCTATGAACCTCAAAGTCCGTAGAATGACTAAATTATGCCATAAAGTTGGGTACCTACTATGCCCCAAATAAAAGGCTTTTAAAAGCTGCTGAAGCCAAAATTATCAGAATTCCATCAAACAACATAATTTTCTGAAATGAGAAAAAATAGTGCAAGGTTAGTCGGTGTTGAAAACAGGAATAGCCATTGCTTAAACTGGTGGAACCCTCGAGGGTGGAGTATACGTAGATGATAGTATGTCAGTATAAAGAAGGCAAAGAGATTGCATAAATCACTCTTGGTTAAAAAAGGTATCCACGTTGTCCAAAGGGAAGTAGAAAATCACCGGGCGTAGAAACAAGACAAAGACGATACCAAAATCAAGGCAATAACAGCGAAAAGAGAATGACTGCTGCCAGCATTCTAGCACAAATATTGACGAAGCCGAAAACGTTTCATGGAACAACAGAACAATGGATACCACTTAAGCTAATAACGAACAAGGCCTTAAACTGCAAACTGAACAGGTATAAAAACTAATCTCCAGAAGTACGGGAAACCTCGAATTAAATTCAATACTGTTGTGCCCTTGTTGCTACACTATCTACCCCCGGCTTCCTAAATACTCGGCCAGCCGATTCCACTAAATTGGCAACTGGGTTAGAATTTAAGCCAATTAAAAATCTATCATTCTGGCCAATTGTTAATAAGAGCAGCAATGTAAAATCGCTTTAAAATAACCTGCATAAAGCATCGAATATATGAAAAACCATGCCATTATTCTCGCATTAAACGATTTTATCTTCAGCATAACCATCTTGTAAAAGTAGAAACTAAAGGCTGTGCTTTTTAGGCTACTTTGACCCAGTTGCACAAATGGCTAGGCTGCTTCTTGGTGGGCTGATTGCGGAGTAAAGCTTCGTTTCCACTTTTTTGTCAAATTTAGTTTATTTCTGTCATATACAGAAGTTTTGCTAAACTACAGTGTAACCCTTCGTGAGCGTCCTCTTTCTTTGTAGTCGAATACTGAAGGAGATAAAGCAAGAGATTTCATCCTTGAACGAATCTGGCCCTTTTGAACCAACATTGGCCGTTTTGCAAGCACGCTTCCCTCATTGCGATTTATTGATTCTTATGCATGGAATTATTGAGTTGCATTTGTCTAATATTTCAGACTGGTTCTCATGACGACCCAGACGCCTACACACGCGGGCAAATTAGAGCAGCCGATTGTTCGGGGATCCGCCTCAGAAGAGTTACCGTTTCCAATGTATCCTCAAGTGAAGAGTTAGTTGGCCAGATTGCCGCGTTAAATTGCGACCCTAGTGTACACGGCATTACCGTCCAGGCGAGTTTCATCGCCAAGTAATTAACGCTGCATTATAGCTACCCATAATCGCCAGCGGAAATTTTGACACAGACGAAGTCCTAAATGCGATCGATCCGAATAAAGACGTCGATGGGTAGGGTTACTTCCCCGTCCCAACGTATTAGTCTATCCACCTGCCAATTAGCTCACATTTGCAGCGGCAGCTACTTGCGTTGGAAGCAGTGCCCCTTTCTCATTCACCCTTCCTGCGTAGCTGCTGCTTGTTTACTTCTCCTACAAGAGACCGGACCCATACCGATAGGTCTGCGCTGCCTGGTGGTCGGGCGCGGCCGACTTGTTGGTACTCCTGTGGCCAGCTTAATGCTACGATCTGCGAATGCTACCACCACCATCTGTCACACGGGTACCCGATGCCTCGAGGAGGAGGTAAATCGTGCTGAAATCCTCATCACAGGGGTCGGTAAGACCAATCTAGTGAAGGGTGATTGGATACGTGCCGGAGCAATCGTAATCGACTGCGGGATAGACGTTTCATCAGGTAAAAATCACTTGTTTCTAAATCAGATTCATTTGACATGATATAGGAAAGGTTCTTGGGGATGTTGAGTTTGAGAAAGCTGTCAGTCGTGCTGCATGGATAACACCAGTGCCAGGAGGTGTTGGACCTCTCACATTCGCCCTTCTCATGAGGAGCACTTTGAACGCAGCAAAAAGATTTCATAATTTGTCAACACACTCACCTTTAATGGAACCAACAGGTATCTTACTAGAATAGAGTGCTTTTTACACAAATTGTAGAAACGATAAAGTTAAGAATGGTGCATTGACTTTGTACAACTGCTCCTACGAATATACCATCAACTAAGTCAGTCGTCGTTGTTTCGCCTTCTTAAATTTCGGGAAACATTGGCTTTTCGCTTAAAGGGAATGGGTGGCATTGGAGTGACACATGGTTCAGGTTTAATCTCAGGGTCAGATTTGGGTCGGAATTCAATTTTATGAACAGCCCTTTTGGCAGTCGACGAAACGGGTGCTTGTTTTTCCTCGAATTTGAGACGGTAGTGTGAGGATATGTCCGCCTCATTGACCTGCGAAAGGTGAGACAGGAGTTCTGCCTTCTCCGTAATCTCCTGCAGCTTCGCTTCATCACCCTTAAAAGTTTTACTCGCGAAAGAGGTGATTCGAAGCTTGATATCGCTCTCTGGTTTCACAGGCTCCAATTCCTCGGGGACAGAATACATGGACGCATTTTCTGCTGGTTCTCTACAAAGGCGGGGATTTTACATACAATAAAGACCCTACGGAATGAAAAAATCGAAGCATAAATGAGAAAGTTCCATAAACAATGGAGGCACACTTACTCAGGGATTACTGGTTGCCATTCACCCAGTAGGTTTATTCGCGGTCGCTTCTTATTGCTAGGAACCATAGTGACGGGTTTATCTTGGGGTATGGAACATTCAGTGGTTACAATCCTTGTAACATCTGGCGGTGGAAGTGGTGATTGACTTTCATCAGGTGAAGCGCCAAATGCCTGGCAAACGGCAGTACTGGCTTCGGAGACACCGGACTCGCTTAGCTCAACAAGTCGGTTAAATAAAAACTGATCCAGCCTTTTCTTCTCCTGCGAGACACACTCGGAATCATTTGCTGGTTGAATCGAGGTCTTAGGGCGCTCCCATTGCGTGACTCCAGTCTTCTTGTTCCAATAGTACATTCGGCCATCGGTTGTTTTTACTTCCTTCCATTCATAAGTAATGGGTTTGGAAACCACTGGAACGGAAGCGATAGGTGGAGCAGACTTCTTTTTTTCGCTCTTATGCACCTTCGACTGTTTTGCTTCTTGTATTTTCTTCAACTTTTCCTTCATAGTACCAAACTGATCATCTGGCTAAGCTTAGGGAAAGAAAGTATTGATACCTGAGAGGTCAACACCATAACGTTTTGCGAGAGAGGGATCACGCTCAATATCCTTCATCATCCCAACAAAAGCCATCTAAAGGAGAATCCAAATAAAAAAAGTATTCCCATACGTCATTGATGAGCGATATCTTCTCACGCATTTTCCCTTTAGAGGACGCAGTTGCGTTTCGTTGAAGCTCATTCAACTTCTTTTGCACATTGCCGATATGACGCTGACCACTCTCGTGATTATTGATACTCTAAAATATACAATCAAATTGCAATCTGCCTAATATAGTGAATATGCCTCGAAGAAATGCAACATAGGTAGTAAGAAAGGGATATCATATTGAAGAGAATTTGGAATTACGATCAAGATCTATATGAACAATAGAACAACTTTACTAAGATTCTACACAGAGAAATGGATTACCGTAGATTATTACCTAAATTCTAGGACTCGTTATGACCTAGTGACCATAAACACCAGGGAGGAGCTTTACGCATATATTTAGGCAGTACCAAGAGTTGCGGCAAAAAGCATTGGGTTCAAAAGCTTACAATGGAATTATCTTGAATCCAGCATTTGCAGATATCGCAATACTTCTTAGGATTACTTTTCCAGTAGTCAGCCATAGACCCAGGCTTAAAACTGGCGCAACGACGGCGATGCCTGTTAATTTGGCATAGCCTTAGGGGTAAATGTTGCTCGAAACAATTTTTGAGAAATTCCTTCCAGCGTGTATGCTGCTAAAAATTTTTATCTTAGCAAAATATGTATGCGATGGAATTTTATATTCGTCTGGTCTTCAATATAAGGCATTCTGTATTTAGCCTTCCTAGTTAAAAATATTTGCATTAAAAAGTCGTTTCTTTTTAGCTAATGAATATTGGGGGTAACGGGTGAGTTTGTTGATATAAGCTTATTGCCACCTTTTATAACCTGCTGTTGTTTTAAGCAGCTGCGCATATTCTGTCGCGAGAGTTTTGCCTAAGGCGTGTTGCTCCATACTTGGCTAAGGAACTAGTTCGGCTCACGCTCTATTAGTGTATAATGGATACCAAGTCAGAAATTGCTTGCACTTATGCTTCTCTCATTCTCGCTGATGATGACATTGAAGTAACGGGTTAGTCCCCATGACTTAGTCGGCTGCTTTGACCCTTACTAACGTTTGCTGTTTTTCTCTGTAGCTGACAAGCTTAACACCCTGCTGAAGGCAGCCAACTGTAAATTCGTAGAGAGTTACGTCACAAGTCTCTTCGCTAATGCGCTCAGTGGACGCAATATTAAGGACATTGTCTCTGCCACATCGAGCGTAAGTGTTGCTCCTGCGCCTGCCGTCGCTCCTGGCCCCGCTGCCTCTAAGGTCTCTGGTGCTGCTCCGGCTGTAGAGTGTGCTCCCGAATCAAAGAAGGAGGAAGAGAAAAAGAGGGAAGAATCTGAGGAGTCTGACGGTGATATGGGCTTCGACTTGTTTGGTTAAGTCGTATATATCAAATCCCTGGATGTAAGCAATCCCTCTTCTGATTATTCTGGGCTGATTTTTGGTGTGCGCTATTCGTTGCGTCTATCGCGGAAATTTTGGTGTAGGCGTGTGGTTGTTAGCATGTTTTCATGTCCCTACGCCTATAGCCGCACTTCTCGATTCCCCTTTAGCATCAGTGAAGGCAAGTTGACGCCTGGCGTTTATTTGTACAAACTTAAACAGATAGCGGAATTTCGTCAGGTGGAATGTTTAGTGCGTCCGTTAGCCGGAGTGTTTGTGTTGGGTAGCTTGAGTTACTTGTTCGGAGTGTTGTCGCGTTTTACTCGTACCTGAAATGTAACCAAGCACAACGTAGTCCGTCGTGGGGCGTCGGTTGTTATGGTGTTTGCCACCTGAAATCATCCACGAGGTGTTACCTGATCGATGGTGAGGCCGCTGTTTGTCAATAGCCTCAAGTATTTCTGCGACACGAGCGATGCTTCCGTGGGCTTCTTCCATCGCTTGAGCAGGAGTGAAAGACAAACAACGGTGACGGAGGACGTGGCCATAGCTGCGGACGACATCCATGGCGCAAATTCAATTCCAATGGGGATAAGGAATCCCATCGCAACTGGAATGGCGAGGGCATTGTAGATCAGAGCAGCAAAGAAGTTGAGACGAATGCGACGCACTGTAGCCCTCGAAAGAGAAATAGCAGCCACTACATCTACGAGGTCATTACGCACCAAAACGACGTCTGCTGTAGCCACAGCAACATCGGCACCACAACCGATGGCGATTCCAACGTCGGCTTGAGAGAGTGCCGGACTATCATTAATTCCATCGCCAACCATTGCGACGAATTCTCGTTTTCGCTGCCTCGGGGCGGTCGGGCAGATTCCACACCAAGCGCCTACAATCCATGTGCACGGATGAAGTTCAAAAGGTTAGTAGCATCATTGAGTCAAGTGCCTGCAGCTATCAGTGGGTCACTACTCACAACCATTCACTAGCCAAGGGAACTTAGATACACATAATGGGAATAAGAATTACCATGCCTACAGAAACATCGGCGATTACGCCACTGGCGTTTGTTGCGTTGGCCAATGTAGGTATATTTCCCCTTACGGTCATCGAAGAATCTTTTGCGGCCAGATCTCTCGATCGGTACTCCGAGATCACCGGGATATAGGTAGAGGGAGGCCTCACTATCATCATCAGTGTCAGAATAGGAGTATTCCAGGAAAGAGGTTTCAGCCGTTTGATCCAAGGTGTCAGGGTGCTTTGAGGATTGAAGAAATGCCACTCGTTCACCGCTGCAGTGCGTGTCTCCCTCCACCTTACCATTTTTCATCGCCGTTTGGTTCAACTTCGAGAGTCCATTACCACTTGCTAATTTTTACAAGTTAACAGAATCATTAGGGAGCGCATTGAAAGGGGAAGTGCTCACAAATCCCTTGGTACAGGATATTTTCAAGAGGACGGATTACCTTTGACATGTCGGGTCTGTATCTGCCTAACTTGCATAGCCTTGTGTGCAGGAATCACCTCGCTGTAGACATCACGGATACCGACCTGGAAGGTAAGGGTGAAACAAGTGACTGGAGCTCATTATTTGAGTATTGCGACTCAGGTGTTTTGGGCGTAAAAAAAAAGAAATCAGGCGTCAATTTGTCGGCTCCGTGAAAACGCCTACTGCCATGAAGATAGCACTTGTCTTTACTTGACAGAGACGACACTTCAAAAAGTGGAAGAGGCCAGATAATCACCAATAAGCCTAACCTTTCTCGCGATGGAGGTGGCAGATCGAGTATTGTCACCAGTTAAGAGAGCCACGTGAATCCCCATGACTTTGAGGGCTGCAACAGTTAGAGCAGCCTCAGGTTTGATCGGATCAGCAATTGTTATGAGAGCAACCAGACGACCATCGACTGCCACATGAACTACAGTGCGTCCCTCCTCCTCATCCATTCGTACGACAGAATCCAAATCCATCAATGGAATGGCGACAGCGTTCTTCTGCATCCACCTCTGATTGCCTATGAGCAGATGGTAGGTGCCGCCTTGAGTCACATCTATAGGAGGTAGGAATGAAAGACAGGACACTGGGATCATCCCCTTTAATTCACTCAACACACTTTACACAGAACAAACTGATGGAAGGCAAAAAAGAGACAGAATGAAGGTGAAGAGAGAGAGATGGAACTGTATCCTACACCCAAAACCAAAGACTGAAACCCACTAGCCCAAGAAAGTGGTGAATTGTCCGAGTTCCACCTCACTGAGTAGTAGTTCAGTTCCATTCGCAGAGCAGCATCGTAGTCAGCGTAGAGTTGGGTCTGTTGAACTGACTGTCTATCTGATGGCAAACGAGTAGGTCGAGGTAGTTCAGGTCCGCTAGGGCAGTCCTCCGGAGACACGATGACATCACAGGACATTCCATAGCCCGGTGAAGTCTCTGCATTGATCACCTTATAGAAGATATTACCAGGTGACAAGTCAATCTTACCTTGGCAAACTCTGACTTCCAAATGCTCCCGTTTGGCTGATCACTGAAGGCGGATTGAGCACTGCGAAGCATGCGAACAATAGCTGTTGCAATTGGATGTTGAGCTGTGGACTCCGCACTACCAACCATGTAGAGGAGACGACTTGGTGAAGTAAGTGCGTGTGGATCAACTTTTTGGTTTTTTGATTCAGGCTAAAAGCGTAGGTGGCTTTGTTTTAATCATCAAAATAGGCGATTCGTACCTACACTGAAGGTGTTGACAACAATGACGTTTACAAAGTGCCGCCAGTAATTATTCGAGTGTGACGTGTGCGTACTACAAACTTGCACCATGCCAAAGGTAGCAACGGCTTAGAGACCTATTTTCTACCCTAGGTGACAAGGGGAAGGAAGAGGAGGCGGAGGAGGAGTTGTGAAACACTGGCATCAACAATTGACACAACGGATTGACAAACACTACCTGGATGGAGCAGTACGCAAATTAGGCATTCTATCGCTGTCATACAGCATCACTTCACTTGTCACATGATTTATTGATGGGTCTCTGATCAGGGTAGGCGTAAAGATAAGATCACTGGCATTGGGTAGCATCTTTATAAGTGGACTTACATTGGAAGGCGTTGCAGGCATAAACATGACTATTCGTGAGATTTGAGGACGACCCATGGTGATTGTTCCAGTCTTATCGAAGAGGATAGTAGAAACCTTAAAGTATTTGTGGATAATTGGATAAGTGAAGCGCCAGAAAGAAGAAATTCGTAAGTATAAAGCGATACTACTTAAAATTCTAAAAGTAGCGTGTTGGGTGCCTTAGGTTGGCTTATGCAAGACGAGATCAAGAGGGATGAGGGAGGGAATAGTAAGGGAGGAGGAGCGTACCTTGCGTAGATTTTCCAGCGGTTGACCACCCTTAATGAGGATACCATGAAGCGCTCCAACACCGGTGCCTACCATTACAGCAGTGGGCGTGGCCAAACCGAGAGAACAGGGGCAGGCGATTGTGAGCACATTGACAGCCACTCGGAACGCTTGATCCAACACGGCACCGACCAGAGAGCACTCCGGCTAGAGGAGAGGGGAGGGAACGTGCATCAATGTATTGCCACCCGGCCACGTATTCACTTCAGCTCGTCTGACCTGGACCTGGTGACCTATCGCCTGTTCATTCTTGGCTGGATTTATTCAGTTCATTAAAGAAACCACCCTTAAAGCAGTATGTCATACAACAGCCTCCTGTCGCCAACCTACCTTGGTTAGCTTACGGCTCTTACAGAGAAGGCGAAGGGGGGCAGGAGGAGAGGGAAAACGATGCTTACAGTGTACCCACGAATAGAAGATGATCGACAGAATCCAAGCACAATCCAAAATATTAGAGATGCTAACGAGAGGAGAATAATACAGGGCACAAAGAAGCCAGAGATACGATCAGCCAACTGTTGTATCGGAGCCTTTAAAATAGACAGAGAAAAAGGGGACTTAGAGATGAGGAGGAAGGGGAGGAGAGAAAAGAGGAGAAGGACAGACCTTGGAGGACTGAGCATCCTCAATTAGAGCGATAATCTGTGCGAGGGCGGATTCACTGCCAATGTGTGTTGCCTGGATGTAGAGAAGGCCGGTGAGGTTTATTGCACCACCGACTACAATGTTGTCTGTAGAGAAGGAGGAAAAGCGGTTGCATCATTTAATGTCAAATTTCATGCTTGATAGGCTGATATGAGCAAACGGGGGGAGTGAAGTTTGAAGGCACTAAAATTGGGTCTTGCTTCTGGTCAAAGTCGTTTTGTAGATTATGGAGAAGGCGTAGAACACGAACGGTAGGGAGCTGTACCATCGAGAGTAAAATCTCAGTACCCAGTTCAACTCAGTTTGTAAAGTAGACAAACTGGACGTACGCGACGATGGCGAGGACAAATCGCCTACGTTTAGGCCTTCTCTAATGGATCCCTCTATCCAATCACCGGCACTTTCCCACCTTTTTTCAGCTCATTTGCTAGTCAAGAGAGGAGGGGAGATGAAAAAGGTCAAAATAATTTGTCCAGTGAGTTCCAATTTGCAAGATGGATATGTAGTCATGATGGAATAAAACGGAAGGATTGATAAGCTAGAAAGGTGATAACTACTGACTAACCAACAGTCTTAGGAACAGGCATAGATTCTCCCGTCAGCAGAGACTCATCGCAGGAGGAGATGCCAAATATCACGCGACCATCCACAGGCACTTTCTCACCAGGTAATATCTACGAGGAAGTGATAACATTTTGACATGTTAGACAGATGACAAGCGATGAAGAAGTAAACGTCAGCCAAAGTCACTTTAATAATGTCACCACGTTGAACCAGTTCGACAGATATGCATCGTTCCTGGTAGTTCTGGAGAGTGTCGATGGTTAGTTGCTCCCCACTGAAAGCCTCATTTAAAGCACCGCTTTGTGGTTCCATTAGCGTGGCCTCTTTGGCTTGAAGTGACAACAGTTTGGAGACAGCTTCCGATGTCCTTTCCTAGGAGACAACATCACACACCACACTTGCATCAAAGCTGTCGAAAGTGAAACAGACGGGGACTTGTGTGCAAACCTTAGCTAGGTTTTCAAGCCACCTTCCAAGAGAGATGAAGAGGAAGAGCATAGGAGTGGTTTCAAAGACGGTGCGTGGACTGGTGGGCCATTGTTGTATCATGGCGATGAGGACTACAACCACGGAGTAGGTGTAAGCAACTCCCGAGGCCATAACGAGGAGGACATCCATGTTGGCCATACCGTGCTTCAATGAGTTGTAGGCACGTATGTAGAAATTCCGACCACTGATTGCCTACAACATCAAAAGTACCAGTTGTAGCTATCAATCCATGCCATCCAGGGGTTTGGCTAAACTGACTGGTCGCTAGAGAGGAAGGCCGGCTACCATGGAGGTCTGAGTGATGGCAGAACAAGGCCTACAAGTCAACCAGGTAGGCATTCGAGTGGATTTGGAAGTCTTCTTCAATCCACTTGATCTGTACACAGACTCCTGAGAGTGTTCATCCAGGCGAATGTACAAACCAGGGCAAAAGCTGAGCTACGAGTCCTTACAGCCTCCCATGAATTGACATTCTGTGAGCCATTTTAGCTTCATACAAGGCGTAATGTGGACGGAGATAATCCCAGAGCTAAAATACGAGGGTTTAAGTCCCACCTGAACAGGAGTAGCCAGAAGCCAGAGAATGAAATTCTCCCATGAGAGACCAGGCAAGAGCATTGGCTGTGAGTGGGTCGGAGACGTCTCTTTTGAAGTGTTATAGGATCGTGGATGACAGTAGCCGCCAACCGGACTATGCGGCCAAATTAGCATGAAGAGCATCATGGCGAACATGGTTGGCAAACCGAAGGCCAGATTGGTAAGAAAGACACAACGCCATCTAGAAGAGGAGAAAAGGGATGATAAAAAGCGGCTTTTGTGTAACACAGGTCGTCGATTCTCTACAGCCAATAGGAGATAAGATCATCTACCTTAGAGGAAAATAAGCTTTCTTGCCTCATTTTTAGCCAGCATCTCAGAGATCAAGATCATTGGGAAGGAGTAATAGATGTTACCTTTTAGTCTCGTCAAAATCTTCAGTGGATTTGAATTCCGGCTTGTAGACGGACGCATCGAAGCCCATATCCTAGGAAAAAAACACACAGATAAGAGATTAGACAAGTACTACTTATTAATATTACTGATTGGATAGATTCAAAGGGGTCCGATAAAGGCGATTACCTCGATAGTCTTTAGGATAGATCGTGCTCCGACAATACGGGAATCGAAAACCACCTTCCCACGTTTTGTTGCAAGGGCTACAGAAGCCGAGGTGACACCGGGTAACTTTTTGATTGCTGTCTCAATTGAATTTACACAAGAGCTGCAGGTCATTCCTAATATCTGAAGGCCAAAAAAAAAATAAAAGGGCTGAGTCCAAAAAGTAGTTTCTTGATAAATGTGAAAACAGTGTGACTTTGATCGGATTCGAAGCTTGACTGCTCCTAGGTCAACACGTGCTCTCCCCCCCTCGCCCTAAAGATTCACATCAGACCATACCCCTCTGCAGACGTGTAGATTAGTCTAGACATTCAAGTAGTCACATAAACTATTTTATCCACACCACCGGACCTTGTTATGCGCCGCCAAACGCACCAGGAGGAGGGACAGGGGGAGGGTTGAAAACACTGGAAAATTGAGTTTGTTAAGCCTGCGTAGAGCGCTTACCACCAGAAATCGTAGCAAATCAAACAAAAGCCATCATGAAGGAGTTTACTGAACAAGATGTAATTCTGGAAGCCCAACAGCTGGAGGAGATTGAAGTCACGCGCAATTCGGTGTGGAGGGGCGATATCACCCCTACCACCCTCCCCCTGTACACCAGCCTAAATGCTGAAAATGTGACTATATTACACCAGGTCGTGCCAATGCAAGGGGTCTGTCACATACATGGGAAAGCTAGATGAGCCTTGAGTCCCTCCACAATCACATTTAGGTGTGGAACTTCTTAATAATGATAAAATATGCAAGATTCCGGATCGACGATAATGATAGGAAATAAAACTGAAGATACTACTAATTGAATCATTTCAGCGGAGAAATAAGGAAATTTTGTATATTAATGCTTTACGTAGTAACAAGGCAATTTTTGCAGTAAAAAAGGACTTAAAAGATGCAAGGAATTAGGAGGGAATAAAATTATGCTTGGATGATCGTAGGTGACAAGTGGGCGCATTGGGTGAATTTCCTGAGGATGCAAGACTCGGTGATGTTCTGTGGTCCACTGAGTGAATGCGGGTAAAAATGATTCAGCAACTCTCCGACTTGCTGAATACGGGCATGCCTGTGTTGACCGCAGATCAACCTTTCATGAGTAAGAAGGAGCGGGACCTTTGGCCTGATTTGGCAGACGGCTTCCCTGGTGCTGACGAGATGGGAAAGAAGCTCAATGATCGTCATTATGCGAAATTCAGTCCTACCCGCGGAAACAAACAGCCAAATTCAGCCATAGGCCGCCGCCGTTGCTCACCCTTTTACCGTCTAACCGACAATTTCGCTTCCTACGGAATTAAGGCAAGGACACGGGGCTAATCATCAACCGCAGAGAGGAGGAGAGGGCAGCATGTCCTTCCCTTAACCCTGCTCGGAGATAACAAATGACTTGTTTGCTCGCTTAACATAGGCACACAAAGGCCATTCTTTAACACGAATCAGGGCGTAAGTTGATCAGCAATCTGAAAGGAGATGCGTTTTCATGCATTGAAACAACTAGAGTTTCCTGGCATTTGTCACTTTAATCGAATTAGGTCTCTTTGCTCAGCGGAATCCACGAATTCCACCTCTTACTGGATGCTGATGTCAAATAGTTAGTTCGTCGAACATGATGAAAAATTGCTCCTAAGTACTGACAAGTTAACCTTGACAGAGTACTCACCCAATGCAATGCTTCGCATCTACCCTCAAGTGATTCACTTCAATCCCTACCTTCTGAGTGGTACGGTCACCAACTGCATTTGCTTAGCCTCGATGAAGCGGATAAAGTTGGCAACGGTGGCGTGGACATTCAAAATAGGCGAAAAGGACTAGTAGGCCGCCTAACTTACGTTTTTACGCCTTAATGAATGCATATAAACAATCCTGTAAGTTACATTCGCCAAAACTTTTTAGCCAATCAGATTTCACTGTAAAGCTCTTGGCTCTTATTTAATTGGCCAATGTTGCGCTACTTTGAAGGTCAAGCTTTTGAGCTTGAGAAATCTAAAAGTTGGAAGGCAAGTACGCATTATTTGGTAGGAGAAGAAGAGGATACTGGGACATTCAGGCGCTCACTCGTTAATCAGTGGCGGGAAAAAGGGAAACGAAAAAAAGGATGGAGAATAAACTGAAGCACAGGTAGGAAAGGAAGTAATGAATTTATCCATACGCCTGGATAAATTAATTAAGAAGGCATGATGATGGAACTGTGCATGTCATATAAGTAAGGCATCCCTTTTGTGGGTGTTATGTAATGCCCCCACCTTCCTCTCAAATTTAAAGAACCAAAAAATAGCATATCTTTAACTTGATCAAGATATAACAAGAAGAGTTGAATGATTGACACTTCACAAGGCCTGACATCGCGTACCATACACCGCCTTCCCCTTCACCCCCGCTCCTCCTCTTGTTTTGAGGGACAACTCAATCAGGATGGGGACCGGAAGGTAGTTAGATATAATAGAACTGTCTGACTTACGGTGACTTCCAGAGTTTGGGTGCCTTCATCACCATGTATTTCGGCAGCTCGCCTCACCTCAAGAATCTGTGCGGAGAATCCGAGCTCATTGATTTGCCTTGTCAGAGCGGAGGGCTGGATGAGTGTCGGATCGTAGATGATGTCAGCCTTCATTGAAAGTAAACCAACCGTCGCGGATCTCACACCTGCAGAGAAAAATCAAGTGATAATCTCGCATCATGCCCAGCAGCTATTTGTACACAACACTTTTCAATGCTGCTTAAAAGACAATTAATTTTCCCGAAAAATATTTGAAACCATTTCTTTGCTTCCTTTCCCTCCAATCTGAAATTCTTCCATAAGGAGATTAGTCAAATTTCTGTGAAATTACGGCAGAGGTTATATTAGGTTATAGGCGTTGAAGGAGCCGGTAGAGGAAAGAAGGTTATGATACGTGTACTTATGCTGGAGCTTGGCTTGACCCTTGAAAGTATGAAAAATGGGCGAAACCAGTGATGGAAGAAAAAAAAGGCGGAGTAAGTAAGTTCATGGGTTAACAGGTTAGTAAGTGTGAACAGACAGCTACCTAAGGAGGGACGAGCCACCTCTTCAGCGGCTGAAGTACCACCGGAAAAATGAAGCAATTATTGTCCTCTATTCTCCCATCCCAATATACGTTGCGTAATTAACTTTTGTAATATCTCATTCTCGGAAAGCAAACTGTTTTACTGCCATACACACCACATTCTGGAGAGGCTACGCGACTGAGCTGTATGACTACATTAAAAACGACGTCGTATAAGCCGACAAGCCGGAATCACATGCTCCAACGAGTAACCGGTAGTGTTTAAAAGATGCGCAGGTTCATGGTGGGAGAAGAGACCACAGGAACGAAAGTAAGACAAACTCTTATACCGCCAGACTGATGCAATTTTTTGTCTATGCTATGAAAGGCATGCAGACAAAGAAGCAGAAGCATTTGCTGCTTCCCTAGAAGTTAATAACAAACCAATTGTAGGGAGGTGCAGCGAGACCTACTCAACATCCTTTGTTCACCAGATAGAAGGGAGAATAAGAGAGGTGGAGGTGTTTAGCTGGCATCGAGCTCAACGAAACATATTTGAAGAACAAAAAGTGGGAGTGAATGAACAAATTTTTTCCGTGCTTTTGCTCTTCACATTAGTAAATTTTTCCAGCTAGAATGACAATCTGATGGAGAAAAACATCCCCTCCCCTCATAATGAAAATCCGTGATAAAAGTGTGTCAGGGCACAGTATGACCCGATTCAAATTCTTTTTTTCTACGGCCTTTTCACCGACTAGTTCTGTGTTTTCACACAAGCCAGAGATTCGGAGAACTTAACAACTTCGGCATGCTTAAAAAATACACCTTTCTCCTAGAAACGGTAATAAAGATAACACAAATCTTTTCGATTCCAAACAATTTACGTTTATGTCTTATTCAAAAGTAATAGTTGTTTACTTATTATGATAAGGGGACCGGCTTGCCAGAAGGAAAGAAACCAGCTAACAAGCATAACAGATAAAGCACATTCCCGTTTGCTCCATAGAAACTTTTTAAGTTGCTCATTTCCTTCATTTTTTTCGCCTTTTCTTAAATAACTTGTAAGTAACTTGGACAGACATGTGGAAAAAGCAAAAAGCACAATTAGTCACCGGAAGGAAGATTTCTGGAAAAAAAATTAGAAATAATATGACGTATGCTATGAACAAATAGCCAAGAAACAAACAAGCAATTACGTAGCACATCCTAATACACAAGATTCACCTACCCGGTAACTTTAAAAGGGCGTTTTCAACAGTTTGGACGCAACTGCTGCAAGTCATGCCTGTGACACGTAGGTGGCAGCACTTCAGGGCATGAATTGGCGGTTCCAAGTCTATTGTCGTCATTTCTCCAACTTTAACTTCTTCGGAAAGAACTGGTGACTTCAAAGTCGTTCGGCCATTTTCGGTAACAGATGTGCCTAAAGTAAATAATGGAATTGCTAAAAAGGAATGGACACACCATTTGTCTTTAATACGAGGATGACCTCATTAGGAAGCATGTGGGGGGGAAAATATGTAGTAAAAATAGATAAAAAAGTGCCTTACTGAAATCGTCCGGCTTTGAAGGACAGTGGATGCCTGAGAGGTCACGCAGATGACAGCTATACCCGAGATGTGTGATTGCATTGTGCAGTTGGGTCAAGTGAAGCCCTGCCAGAAAGTCTGTAGCCGAGGGTATCGAAGAATGAGAAGCTAGAATAATTTCGTCTTGGTCCATTAACACTTGGAATGCGTCATCGGGAAGTGTGTGCCTAAGGACATTCAAAACCTCGTCCTCACAGACCTTACAGCATACACCGTAGATGGAGACATAAACCTAATGAGGAGGATAAAAACAAGGAGGAGAGATTGAGAAATGACCTGGACTTGGACGGTAGGAGGACATAGAATTACAACCGTCCATGATGACTGGGATCATATGGATGGGAGAAGAACCAGATCACTACCTCAAAACCTGTGCCGACGGAGGCAATCCTAGCAGACGGAAATCCATTGCCGGTTAGAATATCAGCAATAGAACGGGTATCGAGGCCTTTAGAAAGTGTAACAAGATGACAGTACGCCTGCCCCACACGACAGACTGCGAGACTACTTAAAGAAGCAAGATTGAGACGCCGTCGCAATTCCTCAATCTCCGGGGATGGAAGAGCGTCGACTATTAGGTAGGCTTTGTTGCCTGGTAAACGCAGCGATGAATTCAAGGGATCGAACTCTGCCGAGGTGGACTCAGCTACACTGGAGTCGGCTAAGACTACTCTAAATCCTTGTTTATTCAGCTTGCATAAAAGTTCTAGAAGGGGAATTACAAAGTGGTTAGTTTGATAGTTGATAGGAGGCAGAGCGGATGCATAAAAGGTGAGCTATTTTTAGGACACCAAGTATTTGTCTCCGTCCACATTACTGGTTGGCAGACTTGCAAAGTAAGAAATGCTAATGGACAGGACGCAGCTTTTACTGTGCCACGTAGCAACTCCAGAGCAGCATAAATTTGCATAGAGAAGAAAGAGGAATACACCACCATAGAGGGGCATTATGCACGTAAAGTATTCTACCGCGTATTAGGTAATGACATCATTTAGAAAAAATGTGGGAGATAATTTGGTGTACTTAATTTACAGAGCTGGTCAACAATAGAACAATTTCTATAAATGAATTAACACCCACAAATTGCACTTGAAAGTGAACTTGTATGAAATATTGAAGAGGGGATTGAAGAAGAGAAGACAATGGGGGAAATATGTGCAATACATTGGTGGGAATCGGAAATAAATGCAGGAAAAGCTGATAAAAGTAAAAGAAAAAAAGAATGAAAGAAGAATAATATATTCGCCTACCCTGATCAATTAGGCTATTCGAAAGAATCCAAAGATCAATCCTACTTTCTTTCTCGAATATTGAGAAGTAAATAACTCCTGGAAGAGTATATAAGTATTGAGAAATTATTGCAACATCGGATGAATAAAATCTGAAAGACTGGTGGCGGATTTCGCTTGGGTGGGACTCTGCAGATGAGACGGATGGAACTATGGATCCTCTTTTCGACGAGGTCTCGATACGATTTGTCATGAAGTGAGCATCAAATCCAATGCCTGATATTACTTCTGTGACTTCGTCCACAGATATTTGAGTTGGAGAATGTATTATTAGGGCCTGCTTTTCTTGCAAATTGATCTAGATGAATAAAAACCCTTCCGATGCAAGACAATCGATCACCAAGCACTTATTAAGAGGTTAAAGTAAAAAGACGCAGAATGCTTACTAATTGTAAAAAAAACTATGTAGAATAGTTGTGTACAATAGTGTGTAATATCCCTGTGTGCGCATTACCATTCCAAAGATTATTGAAGAAAGTAGTGTGCACACAAAAAGTTAAAAAAGATTTAAAAAATTTAAGCAATTCCTTCGCTTCCAAAAACAGGTCCAAGTATCATGTCGTACTCAGCTAGCGCAACAACATTTCTCTATTACCTTTATTTGTAAAATGTTTGGTTCACTAAAATAAAAACCACGGGCTTACGTCTACAACGAAGATGCCGTTAACACAGTGTAATGTATTCTGGATCGTGCTAACACAGCTTTGGCATGTCATTCCATCAATGTGTACGATACATGGTACAAACATCTCGACATCAACGCAGCCTAAGATTGACACCCTTAAACCACCCGGTTTATATCTACATTTCAAGGCCGAACCAAAACCAATGAAATAGTTGGTTTACTTTTGTTACTACTTTTTCTAACGAGAGCTAGGCATTTAAACTGTACATTCACACAGGCGAAATCTTAAGATGTGACAACAAGAGCAAAGCACTTTGGAACTCAAAGCAAAAAAGCAAATTTTTTTGCTTTGCCTTTGGTACTTTGCAAGAAAATATCCTTAAGTAAAAGTAAGGTATCTACCCCTTTGATTTTACAAATATGTACGCCTAGTCTTTTTTTAGGTTTTTGTAACTTTTTAGGCAGTGTAAACCGAATGAGGGAGACTCCTTTAATAAAATCCTTTGATTAAGAAATTTGGGCACTTCAACGTAGTCCTGTCAAAGTACACGAATTAGAGACAACGAAGGAAACAATTTTTCAGAAATTCTACCTTTGTGCTTGCGTCTTCAAGCAAGGGATTCCTAGCCTTGAAAGAACAAGCGTCTTGAAACACTCAGTACGTCGCGGTGAAGCCCTGCTTCTTTGGTTACCGCAATATCAAATACTGTGCCCTCTACGAAAGTCCACTGCATCTATTAATAGGCCTAATTTATCCAAGTAATACACTTCAAAAAATAATAAGAGTTATTAGGATGCTTGAACATGAGTATCTCTGACTTAGAATTTCAGGCTCGATAGGACGGCTGAAGTGCAAACAAGATAGATAGCCTTCCCCAAATTGGGACCTCGAAGACATAGGGGGCTTTTGATCTGCGGTCCCAATTAACGCGTTTTCCGCTTAGTTACCAAGACCTGGCAGTCAAGGTACTTGGTCTTTCTTTCCGCTTGAGGAAGGTTCGCTATTGCCTGTGGGACAATCCTGCTCGACCAGCCTAACTTGATCTTAACTACTTGCGATCCCAAACAGCGAAGTTGAATGAGCCCTCGCACAATAAGATCGTACCTTCCCCAGTCCATTGATCGGAAAGTTATTACACCTCTGTAGCGCTGGAAACAAAGTTGCGATTCTCATACACTGTTCGGTGAATTACCTCCCTCATCGCATTAAAATAATAGGTTTGCTACCAGTCAAATTCAATCTGTGCCACAAGATGTAGCCAGCAAAGGAGCAGTAGCCAAGGTTCGCCAAGCGTTGTCTGTCAAACATAAATGCGTTACGGTGTCTAACTGGGTCGCAATTCGACCAGTTCGACTAGCCGCACTACTTTCACCATCATTGTCTTCCCTTTGGGCGAATTCGCCTCTCGATCCCATCATTTAGGTGTTTTAAAGCCAAAAACTCCTTCGACCTTTAATGCGTACAACTTGCTCCGCCAACCAAAAAGTACGAATTCTAACAATGATTGATACACAGCACACCTAGATCCACCGATGGTCGGAGTGGGCTGCACGAGGTGATCGCGCTGGAAAATGTATGTATTTTGTACAAAAGGCGAACAAGATGTTCCTGGACAATGGGGTCTCGTACGTCAAGAGTTACCGCTGTTGGGTTGACTGAATGATTGATTGACCACTGATTGATGTGGTTGAGGCTGCATTAAAAAAGTATCTAAATGAACGCACAAAGAAGATAAATGCTGATAGTTAAGCAGTTCCTTGGGTTTGGTCAAGGAGTTCCTTCATCTCCACGTAGAGCCGCTGCAACCGTAGATTGAGTGCGAAGAAGGTAAGGAGTTCCCTCACGAGAGCTCGTTTTGATAAACCCTAGTGAAGGTGGAGGAACACGTCTAGTTTATGTCTTGTCATGTACATGGGAAGTATTCAGCTCAAGGTGTACCTTAATCAACGGTTCCCAGGAGGTCTGACCAGTGGGTGAGAAAGGACCGATGAAATCGAGACAGACCTGCCGAACACGGGCATGATCACCTATAAAAGTTGATTTCAATGCATGAGTTTTACTCCGAATTCCATAACCAAACAAATCAACCCTTCAAGACCTTGGACAGCTCTACTTTGCAAGATACTTAAAGTTTATTTTTCCCCGATGGATGGGAAATAAGTGAAGTGAAAATTTGCCTTCTTCAATGAGCTGTTGGAACCATCGTAAGAGCCAAAACTTGAACTCTGCCGCTGAACCAAATAATTCGGCGATTCGCACTTGAGCGTCGTGAAACTCTCTCAGATCTCGGCGTTGAGCAGTCGTAGCGACCACCAGCTCACCAGCCGCCGACACTTCCAATCGTCCGAACTGCTGCATTGCAGTCAGGGGACCGGAGGGGCAGGTGCGGTGAATAGTGGCCGCGGCGCGTCGCTTGAAGTCGTCTTCACCCTCACCAGCATCAAATAACTCTATCCAAAGAAGACGCCCCACGTGAAAGAGGAAGCAGGAGCCAGACCTGAGGCGTACCACCGGATGTCCAGCCCCATCGGGAGAGAAGTCGAGGCTGACTGCCGGACAGCGCGAGGTGTCGAGATGAGTTTCCACAAAGGTCTCCGGGAGGTTTTGGTCAATACCGCAACCAAAGTGGTGTCGAGTAGTGTCCTGAAGCCTTGGAGTCAGTGTCCAGACGGTAAGACGGCCGGAAGCGGTGAGAGCAGCCAAACGCACAGTCGAGCCGTTTACAACCGTCGTCGCAAGCAGTTGTAGTGCCGAATCGAGGAGTATGGGCGGACAGATCGAAGACCCTACGCTCCAGAGAAGCCGGAGTCGACAGTTTGCATCTCCAATGGCAAGCCAGTTGCTGAAACACAGAGCATTGCAGAAAGATTAGATGAAAAGCTCCCCACATTCAACTGTGGGAGATTTACCGCAAAAGCATTTCTTGATGGCTACTGCTTTGTATCAAAGGGAAACTCATGACAAGAGGTGATATAAAATTGTCAAAAAAGCAGTTTAAATGAATGATGACGCTGCACTAGAACTTTATGGTTTGAAAGAGCAGAACTTAAGTGGAGGACTAGATACTGAAATGGTAAAGCACAAAAAACAGGGGCTTTTAAACTACTAATCTGGATTTTGCCACGCATTAGGGTCTGCATTAATGGGATTAACATGTTTACTAGGGAGAAGAAAATTAACAACTGACTCAGCATGGGCGTGTGAGGTGAAACGGTGGGAGGAGGAGAGGCTCCAGAGGTTTCGCGAATTGCCATCACTGGAGCAGGAGGCAGAAACCCGATGAACTGCACCTTTTCCCTTCTCGCCATTTATAATATTGACGATAATCGGGCCTTCAACTGGATGGCAACAGACAAATTGCGCCCTATTGCCCGACAAATCCAGTTGATCAGTCGCACAGACAGCCGCCAATGGTGTAGACTTAGAAGCACCCGACGGAGCAGCTCCACGACCTTCTAGGAGAAGCTAGATTAGTAAAAACCTTCCCGACTCGTGGAGATGAAGAAGGGCTGAAAATGAAAGACAAACCCTGTTTTTCCGTCAATTTCTCAGCCGACTTAACTGGACTGGGTCGAGAGGAACCGGATCCTGTGATGCTGAGATTAGCTTCCTCTTCATCCTCCTCAAAAAATATACTTGGACGCTTCCGTTTCTTGTGAGATTTTTCCTTCTTCTCAATCACTTTGGTGTCATGCGATATTGTAGTCATCTCCACACGTTTACGTCGTTTCGCAGAAGTTGTTGGCTCTTCTGACGACTTTAATAATACCGGAGGACTGTCAGCTGGATCTGATGACCTGAAGTGAAGAAAGACCGTCAATTCGCCGGGCAACGATTTCGTGTGCTCATAAATATACTATTTTTGTAGTTGAGCAACTTACAAGATAACCACATCCTCACTGCTCTGAGGGAGGGGAGGGCACAGGGGGAGAAACAGAAAAGGTTAGAAAGGAAATCTCGATGATACGGGAAAAAAATAAATCGCTTTTGCCAAATGACTTACAACGCTGCTCATCACTAGTCAAACCGATAGAACATAGACAGTTGACCCTTTTTAAATCTGATGAAATATAAAACAAAAAAGTAACACGACTTTGAAGCAAAGATGATTTATCAAATTTAATATTAAGTGAGTACGGTGAATACTACTAATAACAGGAACGTAACTCAGCGAGAGAGAGAGAGAGCTAACCTTGGCTGGAGGAGTATCACTATTGGTTGAAAAAGGAGGTGCGCTATTAACCAATTGCACCTCAGGCTGAGAAATGGGCACTAAGGCAGACTTGAGTGCTGGTGGTGATTCCGCCGGCTTTGAAGGCTCCTCGACCATCATAGGGAAGGCTGACGGTGGCTCCTCGTCCAAGCTGTAGTTTATTTGGATCAATCGAAGTAGAAAAAAAAACAGTGGAAAAGTAGGCAAACTGATGCACCTTTTTATTCAGGACAGATGGAGTTGACTAAAGGGTGGTGCCCAACTCACTCACCAATCTAAAGAGCCCAGAAAACTTGGGGTAATGCGTCTACGCCCATCTTTAGTTCGAACTTCAGTTTGAACGGAGATCTAAGGAGGTAAAGTTACCGATTAAATAGGTCAACCAAATTAGCACTTCGCCGAGACAGATGGCAGCATTCTTTAACTGAAAAACAACTCTATCGAAAGGTCCGATACAACCGCTCATACGCACACGCTCAAATACACAGGAAACCACGAACCCTGGGTAGTTTGGCAGCAACCTTGCTGTTGGGGGTGGAGGAGGAGGAGGAGGAGGAGGAGCAGGTAGAAGAGGGCACCAGCCTCTGTCGCAAGTCCGACTGTGACCGCTGTAGTGTCAGTGCCTCAGGTGTCTCCAGCACTACATTGCCACCCGCCTTCTGGCCGGCGTTAGAATCCACCCCATTGCAGGGGGGCGCCGGTGAGGGTCTCAAGGCGTTGAGCAGGCCATCGATGAGACTCTGACCAAAGAGCTTCCGGTGAAGCCGAGCCTGAAAAAGAGCATTTCGCGTAGAGGAAGCAATCTTAAATTTAAGCTTGGGTGAGTAAGGTCGGGGGGGGGGGGGGGTTCAATTTGCATGCGATGTCGATGAGTTAATCACATCAAAGTTTCATTTGGGATATCACTTGGTAAAACAATCACTGTCAGACAAATTCAGAATGCAATATACAGGTTAGAAATTGACTAACTATTCAGAGTCAAATGCAGCCAAGTCATTGAATATCAAATTGAACAGTGTCGTATCCATTACACCCATTTTGCAAGCCGATTAGATGAAAAATCCCCAAATTTTTATTAAAAAAGAGGCTAGAAATAGCATTAAATGTAAATGGAAAAAGGACTCACAACATCTTCCAGTTTTATGGGTTCTCCCAACTCCTCTTTAGTGAAGGACATGTAGGATATAGAGCCATCCAATGAAGAAGCTAGCAGTTCACAACCGCTCGAACTCCTTAATAACAAAAATAGAAGGGTGAAAAAAATTGTACCCACTTTAGAAGGATCGGTTTGTTAATCAAGCTAATTTGACTCACCAGGTTAGATCGGTGATAGAGCTAGTGAAGAGGTCGCGTATGACAACAAGTGCGCGATTAGTCAATGTGGTCTACAGCGGTTGGAAGATCCCAGTGGTCAGCGGGTTAATAAAGCATGGAAGACTGCAAAACCTAGCACAAAGTAGGACGTACCCACACAGAGATACACCGGTCCTTACCCCCAAGAGCGAGACAAACCATCCCCTTGAAGTAAAGGGGAAAAATAATCACAGATTTTACAAAGTCCAACATAAATGAACTCGCAATGAATTACCGGGGATTCATTGCCACCAGCTTTCTTAAGAAGATTGGGATTGTATCGCTGAAGAACAAGAAGAAGAAAGTGAGATCGCTAGGGAGGTCTCGACAGGCACCCGACAAAAGATAACAGTGATGATTACGTCTAAAAGTTGACCATTACCATTTCTAAAGATCTTTTGCGTTTTCTAAATTTTGAGCCAGCTGACATTCTTTGAAAAATTCATACCAATGACAAGGAGCAGATTGAGTGCCAAAGAAAAAAATGTGGCCATACTGCACAGGTGACGTGTTTTTCATGACCAACTAGATCAAGTCCAGCTTGCCATCGGTTGCGGGTGATGAGCTGAGCCGTGGGAAAGTTGTTGTTGACGGCGTGTGGAGCGGCGATGACCGAGCCATCGGGACTCCATGAGAGCCGTGTCACCTCGGCCTGATCTGCAGCCTAACAGATGAAATATGAATGGAAGATAACTTAAGGAATATAAATTTATCATTCAAATAGAAAGATACTAAACTGACATTGGTAAAAGGAGTGGAAACCTTGCTCTCAGGCTGCCAATCAGCAGTCCGCCAAACGCGCACACCAATGTCGTCAGCTTGGGTGGCTAAATAGCGACCCGCAGGATCCCACGCCACACCCTTAACGGGACCTCGGTGACCCCGTAAAACGGCAACAAACTGGAAGGGCTGCTGCTTCTCGTTGTTGGGAGAATGGCCCCAAATCACCACTGTGTTGTCAACACTGGCCGAGGCCAGACGAGATCCGTCTTGTGCCCATGCGATGTCAATAATGTCTAAAATACATGTTCATTTTGACAACACTAACAACAACTTTCAAATAAAGGTGAAGTTGCAAACCTCCAGTGTGGTGTCGCAGAACGGCTGCACATCTCCAGTGTTCTGAAAATTTCATTTTTTCAGAGGCGCCAAACATTGCACTGGATCTAACACCAGCACTGAAGAAAACAATCAAATTATGGGAACAATTCTGGAAAGAAAGGAATATGGCAAAAAAACTCACATTGTCTTTACCCAGAGCATTATGACACGATCCATACCACCTGATGCTAGCCATCGACCAGTGGGAGACCAGCGAACACAATTTACGCAAGCTAAATAAAGCCATCCAAAGCATAAAAAGCAATAGAAACTAAGTAAAGCACTTAAAAAAGGCTACCTTGGTGGTTATTCATTTGATAAAGCATTTTCGAGAGTGAGTGAGACTCTCTGTTTGGGTCCCTAATAATGGACATGTCCCAGAGAATTATAAGACCTCCCCCATCAGTGAGGCCACCCGTAGCAAGACGTTTTCCGTCTGGATGAATATCCAATGTGTAAATTGGTCGAACTAAAAAGAAGAGAAATAAAGTACTAAAGTGCGAAAGAAAAAAGCAAAGAGGCTAAATAAAGAACTTACGCAGAACATCCTTTTTAGAGACAGATCCATGCGACACCCAGTGTGGTTTTAAAAGCCGCATTTCTGCAAAAAAGAATAAAATCGATAAACTCATAATCAGCACCAAAAAAATCGCATTAGGCCACAAGTGCATAACAGACCATATTCAAAACCTTAAAGAAGGTGGCGCAAATGCATTCAATCAATTGTAAAATTACTAGATCAGATACTGGCGCCCAGAGCAAATCAAGTGAAGTATGACAGCGTACACATCGGCAAATAAGTGTGACTGCATGAAAGCATTCCAACACACATCCCAAACATCACAAAAATTAGATAGAAGAAGTTGTAAGAGCATGAGTAGAAATGCAGTAGAACCCTATGCAAAAGAAAACCAGACGTCGATCTAACAAGCAAGAGAAACCAATTACTGCGCGGTAATGTCAAGCCGCAAAAAAACAAATATGACCTAGATATGAAAGGTTGGATGCTCAAGCTCGTAGACTGTTGAACCTGATAAAAAGACTACATATATGGAATTTAAAAGTTAAATGTTTACAAATCATTTATTGTGCGACCGCACTACCAGTAGTAATAACAAATGCTTAGCGAATTCATCTCCTTAAGTAAAACAACGCTCTTTTTAAAGATGCAATTCAAGAGTGCACAACCCTAACCTTTTAAAAAATATCTGCACTCACAAACAAGGCCTTTATTAACACAATCTATTGCCGCTCCTGGAAGAAAGGGCCGCTTAGAAAAACAATATAATCAAACAGCCACGTTGGATCGACACAGCAACACCCACCTCCCCGAGAGGTCGTAGAGTCAGAGGCACGCAAAAAAAACGCAGACAACCTAAATAATGCAATAGAGGTCATAAATACAGTTATGATAACTGAATAGAAGCCAGACATTCAAAGAGCGGTAAATCGAGCTCAAGCTGTTAAGATTACTGGACTGGTAAATTTCAGCAAACTCTTCAACCCTTTTCAGCTAAAAATGTCCTGTGAACAGAGTTGACAATGAAAGTCTCAGCATCAGCCGCGTTAGCTTTCCGACTGCTATCAAAGAAAGGTGATCGAATGATCTGGAACGAAAGGCGAAGTGTAACGATAATGTAGCGTGTCACACATCAACAGAGAGTACAATCGGCATAAAGGCAAACACTCAGAAACCAGCACATTTGCAGCATATTTCGAGGACAGCCGTAACATACGCAAACCAACTATATGCCGCGAATGATTAGCCGCTGAAACAACAAAGGCATACC